ATTGCATGTGGCCAAAGAAATTTGCTGGCACTTGCTTTATGGGCCAATATATGGTTAAAAATAATAATAATAATAGATGAAAAATAAAAATTAATGTTCTATTTGTATTACCTGTTAGATAATTTATTATTTGCATTGCTCAAATTTTCTCTATTGTGACTGATTTTTTTGTCTGCCTAGTCTGTCCTTTGCTAGAGAAGGTATGTTGAACTGTCCCACCCCAATTGTGGATTGACCTATTTCCTTTTGTCAATTTTCCACTTATATATGTTGAGACCTTGTTATTAGGCATACACAAAGCAAAACGGCTATATCTTCCTTTATCATTATAAAGTGACCCTCTTTACCTCTAGCAATACTTTTTGCCTTATAGTCTGTTTCATCTGATAATGACATAACCATACCAGCATACCTTTGATTAGCATTTGGATAGTATATCTTTAAACTGGAACATTCAATTTTTTTTTTCTGGCTGGTCATTTAATTCATTTTCATTTAGCGCATGACTGATGTGGCTGTGTTTCAATCTCCCATCTTTTCTGTACTATTTGTTCCACCTGCTGTATATTTTTCTCTCTCCTTTCTTGCCATGTTTTATGTTGAGCATTTTAGTCATTCCATCTTATCCCCTCTAACAGTTAGGAAAATGTGCACCGCTTTTATTTTTTCGGTGATCCCCCTAGACAGTACATCTTTAACTTATTAAAGTTCATTAGTAAGTTCATTTAAAGCTCTACCCTGCTCCTGGAAAATGCAATGATCTTGGAACACGTTAACACAATTTATCCTCTCTCAATTTATATGCTTTCATTGCCAAGAATTTTAATTCTATAGATTTTTTCACAGTTCCATAGGCATTATATATTACTTCTTTGTATGGTGAATATTCACATAGATTTATTCTCATAACTTCTTTGCCATTCCTTCCTTTTTGCACCTCTGACCTCACATTTCCTTTTGACTTGAAGTTGATTCATCAGAATTTCTTTTAGTGTGGGTCTGCTGTTTATTTATTATTTATTTATTGTTTGTTTGTCTAAACTATCTTTATTTGCCCTCAGCAGTAAAAGACACTTTATCTGGGTATAAGACTCTATGTTGGCAGTTGTTTTCTTTCAACACATTGAAAATATAATTTCATTGTCATCTAGCTTCCATTGTTGCTTACGTGCCGTTGGCAGTCATTCTCCTTGTAATGCCCTTTATGGTAATCTATCTGTTTTGTCTTTTTAAGATTGTCTACTTGTCATTGACTTTATGCATTTCCAGCATTTGTTTGATGTGGCTTTGTTTTTACTTTTCCAGCTAATGAATCACTGAGATTATTGAATATGTGGCTTGATGTGTTTTATCAGTTCTGGAAAATTCTCAGCCATTGCCTCTCTATCTTCTTTCCTTCTGGTGCTCCAAATTATGCATTTGTTTAGCCATCTCACTATTTCCTGTTATGTGTCTTATCCATTCTTCTGTATTCTTCATCTTTTTGTCTCTGTTATAAAATTCTGTGTAGTTTCTTCTGACCTATATTTTAGTTCCAGTTCTCCAATTCTTCCTTTAATTGCATCAAATTTAATCTTAAATCTATGCAGTTAGTTCTTGATTTCTGTTATTTACTTATTTGGTTTTTTATTATTCTATTTATTTGGATCTTTAAAATATCTCTTTTTATAATTTTCAGTCCCTATTAATTTGTTCTATCCTAGCCTTTTTTCTTCCCGTTTTTTTTATTGTGGTAAAATACACATGATATAAAACTTGTCATCTTAGCCATTTTTAAGTGTGTGGTTTAGTGGTATTAAAGTACATATGCATCCACAGAGCTCTTGCAAGACTTAAACTCTATGCCCATTAAATAATAACTTCCTGTTCCTCCCTTCCCTCAGCCCCTGGAAACCACTATTCTACTTTGTCTCTATGAATTTGACTGCTCTAGGTATCTCAAATAAGTGGAATCACACAGTATTTGCCTTTTCATGACTGGCTTATTTTTTAGAATAATGTCCTCAAGGTTCATTCATCTTGTAGCATGTGTCAGAATTTCCTCCTTTTGAAGGCTGAAGAAAAGTCCATTGTATGTATGTGCTGCATTTTGTTTATCCATTTATCTGTTGATGGAGACTTGGGCTGCTTCTGGCTTTTGGATATTGTGAATAATGCTGCTGTGAACATGGCTGTACTAATACAAGTCTCTTCAAGACCCTGCTTTCAGTCCTTTTGGGTATATACCAAGAAATGGAATTGCCAGATCATATAGTAATTCTATTTTTTAATTTTTCAGGAACCACCGTACTGTTTTCTACAGTGGCTATACCATTTACATTCCCACCAATAGCGCACAAGGACTCCAATTTCTCCACATCCTCACCAGCACTTGCTGCTTTCTGGGTTTTTTGATAGTAGCCATCCTAATGGATGTGAAGTGGTATCTTGTGGTTTTGATTTGCATTTCACTAATGATTAGTAATGCTGAGCATTATTTCATGTGTTCGTTGGACATTTGTATATCTGGTCAAGTCCTCTGCCCATTTTTGAATCAGGCTGTTTATTTTTTGATGTTGAGTTTTGGGAGTTCTCTCTATATGCTGTATGTTAATCCCTTATCTGATAAAACATTTGCAAATATTTTCTCCCATTCTGTGGGTGGCCTTTTTACTATGTTGATAGTGTCTTTTGATGCACAAAATTTTTTTTAAGTTTTCATGAAGTCAAATTTGTCTACTTTTTTCTTTTGTTGCCTGTGTCTTTGGTTTCATATCCAAGAAATTATTGCCACATCCAATGCCAAGAAGCTTTTCTCTTATGTCTTCTTGTAAGGATTTTTATAATTTTAGCTCTTATGTTTAGGCTTTGTTCTATCTTGAGTTGTTTTAGTATATGGTATTAGGTAAGGATTCAACTTTATTTTTTTTGCATGTGAATATCCAGTTTTCCCAGGACCATTTTTTGAAAAGACTATCTTTTCCCAATTAAATGGGTTTAGCACCCTTGTGGAAATCACTTGATTATATGCAAACATTTACATGTATTTCTGGGCTCTCCACTCTAATCTATTGATCTACATGTCTGTCTTTAGGCCAATACCACACTGTTTTGATCACTGTAGCTTTGTAATAACTTTTCAACTCCAAAAGCATCCATTCCCCAAATTTGTTCTTATTCAAGATTTTTTTGACTGTTCTCCTGATGAAATTTTAAAGCTTGCATTTTATTTCTTTGAACCTAGTTATTTTATAGTCTGAATCTGATAATTCCAACATCTGGTGTTTCCCTTATTTCTACTACATCTGTTAGTTGTATCTTGCTTCCTATGTACCTGATCATCTTTGACTGTATCCTGGATTTTGTATGTAAAAAAAATTATATGCAGGAACACCTTGAGGCCCAAGATGATGCCATCTTCCTCCAGAGAGGGTTTTCCTTTGCCTCTACCTGGAAGCAGTGGTGTTGCCAGTCTGGGACCACCTTAATCTAAGCCACATGCCTGGGCTTCTCAGGGAAGTTGGAACATAAGTCTGCACAAGGACTGCTTACTCCTGGGTGACTTAACTGTGAGGGGAAGTCTTTAGGGGCCCCTACTTGAGGTGGTATTTGTCAGGCCCCCTGATTTGAGCTGGCATTAAGCTTTGGCATCTCTCTCTGTCTCTATAAGGCTGCTGGAGCTGCAGGTTGCTTTTGCACCTGCTGCTTCTCACTCTGCATCTGGACTCAGGGAAGCAGCAGTTCTGTGTGCTGGGTTTGCTTCTGCTATCTCTCCTGTCCTTGATTTAGAACTGAAACTTTCTCACTTCGGTGCTTTTGAGAAGAGAGGTGTATTTATCCACCTTTTTTTTTTTGTCAATCTGAATTACATAGCATGTCCTCATCCAATAGGGAAGTTCAGAGGGTCTTTTTTAAAAGCACGGTTCTGATCACATTCTTCCCAGCAGCAAATAATAGCAATATAGAGCCCGGTATTGTGATCATTAACTCATTCACCCCTGCCCAGCATGCTGTGAGGTTGGAGCTAGGTTCTTGGTCCACTCAGGCTGCCATAACAAAATGCCTTAGACTGGGTGGCTTAGAAACAACAGAAATTTATTTCTCACAGTTCTAGAAGGCGGAAGTTCAAGATGAAGGCACTGTTGGACTTGGCGACTAGTGAAGGTCCGCTACCTAGTTCAGAGATGGTGTCTTCTCACTGTGTCCTCACATGGCAGAAGGCAGCTCTCTGGACCCTCTTTTATAAGAGAACTTATCCCACTCACGAGGGCTCTCCTTTATGATGTAGGTCCCACCTCCTAACACCATCCATCTCCTTGGGGGTTATGATCTCAACATATGAATTTGGGGTGGAGACATACATTCAGAACACAGTAGCTAGCATTAGCCCCATCTCACAGGTAAGAAAACCAGAGCACAGAGGTCAACAGCTAACTTGCCGTGTGGCTGCCCAGCCAGTGAGTGGCAGTTGGGATTGAGCCAGGTGTGTCGGACACGTAGGTGCCGCTCAGCCTCCTCTGCTTAGGAGCCTACTAGGGCTCTCCACTGCCTGGAGACCTGAGCACAGACTCCCCACTTAGCCACCGAGGCCCTCCTACCCTCCGCCAGCCATGCTGGCTCCACCCATCCCCCCCTCTGCTCATGTAGGCAGCTCGTCCCAACCCCTCGTGTGCCTCCTGCTCACCCTTCCAGGCTGGGCTTGGATGGGGCTCTTCCCTCCCTCACCCCTCCAGAGGCCCCTGGCTGGAGTGGGGCTGAGGGGCAGGGGCCCCTGGGCAGGCCGGGGCCGACACTAGGAGCTCCGCCAGCCCCACAGCAGCAGCCCCCAGCTGGGCACTGGGCAGGGCATCGGGTACAGCAAACAGGTCAGAGCTCGTGCCCTGAGCACATGGCCTGTCCGAGGGACGGAGGGCTGTTAGGCCACCCTGGGGGTGCCCTGTCCAAGGCTGGCTCACCCTCGGGGGACACCTGGGGGGGAAGCTAGGGGGGCATCCCGCTAACCCCCGCTCCCCACCTCCCAGGTGAACAACAACGGGATCATCTCCTTCCTGAAGGAGGTTTCTCAGTTCACCCCGGTGGCCTTCCCCATCGCCAAGGACCGTTGTGTGGTGGCAGCCTTCTGGGCAGATGTGGACAACCGGCGTGCGGGCGACGTGTACTACCGGGAGGCCACCGACCCGCCCACGCTGCACAGAGCCACCGAGGATGTCAGGCGCTACTTCCCTGAGCTCCCAGACTTTTCCGCCACCTGGGTTTTCGTCGCCACCTGGTATCGAGTCACCTTCTTTGGAGGCAGTTCCTCTTCCCCCGTGAGTGCAGGCACTTGTCCTGGGGAAGGGAGGGCACCTGGCTAGGGCCTTGGGTCTTCCCACAGCAGGGCCCCCACCTCGTCAGGACAGGTCAGGCGCAGTCACTGGTCCATACCCGGGAGAGGAGAACTGGGCTCAGGGACCTAAGTCACTTGGCTGTGATCACAGAGCCGGGGTGGAAGAGGATAGAGCCTCAGCCTTCCCCAACCCTCCTGGAAACCAGGTGCCTCCAGGAAACACCAAATGCCCGAAAACAGCAGTTGCCCCGCTAAGGATGAGGGGTGTTAGAAGGATTTCCACTGGGAGTGGCTCGGGGCCCAAAGGGTTAAACTGGACGGTTATTCTGTTTTACACTTTATTCTGCGATAATACCAAACAGAAAAGAAATGTTGAGAATAACTGACCACTGGCCCAGCGTGGGAAGTCTTGGTGGGCCGGTTCGGCCCAGTGGCGGATGCAGTCGCTGAGCACCTGCCACTGCCTGGCCTGCACTGGCCATGTGCACAAGGCATTTTTACGGGCACCCTCTAGGTGGGAGGCAGTGTTTTGGGCACGGGGGAGACAGCCTGGACAAAGTGGAAAGACGTGCCTGGCCTATGGGTACACTGTAGTGGAGGTGACATACGTGGCTGGCCGGGTAAGAAGATGCCAGGTGTCAGGAAGTGCCTAGAAGCACAGCCCAGCGAGGGGGCACTCCTGGAGCAGGTTCGTTAACAGAAAGTGGACAGTTAAGTTTCACACGTCTCCTAGTTGGTCCTCAAAACTTTGAACCTGCCCCGCTCCTAAAGCGCCACCACGGGTCCTCACGGACGGCCGCCCTCCCCCACCAGCCTCCACCACCGGCACCTTCACAGGCATCTTCAGAGTGGTGGCGCTAACATTGTCTTCATGGAGCAGGGCACTGGTTTCCCTGCTGCCAGCCCTCATCGAGTAAGAGTGTATGTCGTGTGGTTCCCCATCTTTTTCAATGACTGCAAACCAGTCCAGTGACGGGCGGCGCCTGAATCTGCCGCCTGGACTCTGTGATGGGACGGCGGCAACATGAGGGCCTGAGGCGGGCACCGTGTGACCCAAGGTGCTTTCTTCACAGGCGCGTCCTGGCACACGCCTGCACAAGGGAGATGGGCCTGCAGAATTCCAGCTTTCCTCTCACGAGGGCACACGGTCTTCCTGGCATAAGCCTCACGGGGACGCGCCTGTGTCCTTGCACCCAGCTAACCGCAGTGTCATCTCCCTTCTTTGCCAACTACATGAGCAAGCAGACGACAAGGAGTGCTGGGTGTTGACACACCCACCTTCGGTTTCTGGCGATACTGATGTGTGCTAGTGTTTTGGGCTGGCTGTGCCCCGCTGTGATGTGTCTGTCGTACCCTCTGCCAGTTTTTCTGCACGACTTCTGGTCTTTTTCTTATTGATCTGTAGAGGTTCTTCTTGGATTAAGGGCAGCAGTAATTTCACTTGCTGTATGTGATGTGAATACATTTTTCACTTTGCTGTTTGCCACTCAGGTTGATCTTATGGCATTTTTTTGTTTTCACATTCACAAGTTTTTTGTAGTCAAACGTATAAATCGCTCTTTTGGTTTCGCCCTTAACAAACATCACGCTTAAAAGTCCTTTCCCTTCCCTGAGGTGCTGCTGTGCATATTTGCCTATATTTTTTTCCAGGACTTTTATGGTTTTGTTTCAAAACATGCCTTGATTTGGGATTTATTTTCATGTGTGGTATAAAGCGGGGCTCCGATTCTATTCTTTTTCAGAGAGTTTCCCATTTGTCCCAAGATCGCGTGTCACACACTCTCGACCCTTCGCCCCGATCTGGTGTGACCTCTGTCATATGTGCACTGCCCATCAGTGTTTTCACGGAATAGAGTTCCATGAAAGCCATAAACCTAATTACTAAAATCCGCTTCTCCGTGGTCCCTGCTTTTATCCTCGCCCTCTCTCTTCCGTTTTTGTTCGTTTCCCGCAGGAGACTTTGTGGATTGGCGGGGGGGCGGGAAGACTCACCTGAAAGCTGCGATGGCGCACGGTGAGAGAGCCTGGGGAGCCCGAGGCTGCGCACGCACTGGGGCGTGAAGAGGCCCCAGCTTGAGTCTGAGCTTAGGCAGCAGGCAGCTCAAGGGGCAGGGTGCCCAGGAGCCAGGAGCTGCAGCCCCAGCCCCGGAGCAGCAAGCCCTCCTGCAGCCCCAGGCCCCGCCCTGGGCCAGGCACCTGCTCCGTCCACGTGGGCCCTGGGCAGCACTCTGTCCTCTGGGCAAGGGCAATGAGGTCAAGTCAACTGCCAGTGGCCAGGGGTTTGGGTTGTACGTGAGGAGTAAGGTGCAGGCTGCAGGCTGTGAGCCTGTAAGTGGGGCCCTCATAAGAGGATCCGGCCAGGAGGACTTCTCGCCATGGTCCCAGGTCTCTGGGAGAAACAGACAGGCGAGGCACTGCTGGGTCCTCCAAACTGGCCTGCACAGAGGCCCTGGGCTCGGGCATCTGGGAGTCAGCTCTGGGGCTACACAAACATGGGATCCATCAGGAAGGGTGGGTCAGTTCATACCTGAGGGGCAGTGCACCTGTGTCTGGAAGTCTAGTTCCTGAGGAAGGGGGTTCCTGCAGCCCTCACCGCTGCACACCACAGAGTAGTCAAACCTCGGGCAGGCAGACTGGCGGCAGCACGGCTAAGCCAAGAGGTGCAAGCGAGAAGCAGAATCGGCCCAGAATGACACTCATGGACTTAATGGCGTGCTGGGCCCAGGGTCCTCCCAAAAGTCTCCTTAGGGCCCTCGTGGAAACGTGCAGTCGAGTCCTCAGGACGCCCCAGTCACCTGCTCACTTATGCTTATTAATCGCACTTGTCAGTGGCCTTGCTTCTCCAGAAACGGGGGGCCCCTGAGCCCAGGTCTTCAGCTGCCTGTCTTGATGGTACTAGGCATGGTAGTTGCTGGGGCCCTCGGGGACCCCAGGAGGCCCGCCCTGGGTGCAGCCCTTTGAGAAACGCTCACTTGGATAGCTGCATGCCAGCCTCTTGTTTTACACGCGGGAAACCAGGGGTGGAGGCTGAGCATGGCCATGTTTCTAGAACTATGTGTGGTAGAGCTGGGAAGGGTCCAAGGGATGAGAAGGTGCTGGGGTGTACGTGACTACGGGGGTCTGCCTCCATGGGAAGTCAGCGGGCAGTCCCGGCAAACAGCACACAACAGACGTGCAGGGCCCCTGTGCTGGCCTAGGGGGTGAAACCGTGGATGCTCTGTCACCAGCGCTGTGGTCACACCATTACCCAGAGGCCAATCCTTTGGGTCAGGGAGGGAAGAGCGTTGCGAGTGGTTCTTCCACCTGAATCTGCGAGGTGGCGTGTGAGGCTCCGGCTCCTTCCTGTGTCCGCAGCCTCCGTATGCCTGGCCTTGCGTCCGTGCCTCAACGGCGGCAAGTGTATCGACGACTGCATCACAGGCAACCCCTCCTACACCTGCTCCTGCCTCTCGGGCTTCACAGGGCGGAGGTGCCATCTGGGTGAGCGGTTGCTCCGGGGCAGGAACAGGGCACCCCCCTATCCTCCCCAGCTTGGTTTCCTCCACTGAGACCCCAGCTCACCCATGTTTCAGATGTGAACGAGTGTGATTCCCACCCGTGTCAGAATGGCGGGACCTGCACCCATGGTGTCAACAGCTTCAGCTGCCAGTGCCCAGCCAGCTTCACAGGACCCACCTGTGAGACAGGTAGGAGGAACCCGCCTAGGATTCCATGTGATTCCCCATGGCCCACTGGCTGCAGAACAGCCAGGACACATAGTGGGGCAAGAGCAAGGTCTAGGACGGCCCAGACCAGCACGGTCAGCTGTGCACACCACCGGTGTTTGCAGCCCAGGAAGGCTCGTCAATGAGGAGTGGGGAGTGGAGGAGCCCACATGCTACAGGAGAGCCCCCGTCACGTGAGTGTGCGCAGGAGCAGTGACTGCAGCAGACACAGGCTTCCTAGGCCTGGCATTAAAACCAGGGATGAGGCCTTGGAACAGGCTGGAGCCAGCCCTGCACTGGGCCAGGGTCAGGGCCAGACTTGTAGTGGGGTCCAGATGAGAGCCCCAGTAGTGTGGCGGTGCCACTCTCACCCCAGGACCAGCTTGATGGGAATGTAGGGGGCTTCTTGTGTCATGGGCCCACGGTGGGGTCGGGAGGGCACAAATGCCCCTCCGCCTGCCCGCATTCCCAGAACCCAGCTGCTTCAGGATGCCGCTGGGGGTCTCACAGCCAAGGCGTGCGCTGGGTCCTTCTCCTTCCCCACTGCTACTTCCAAACCACTGCTCGCCTCCTCCCTCAGAGCCCGGCTCTTCTGAAGCCCCTGCTATCAGGTTCAGCCCCCACTAACCTGCCCTTTGACCAGCACCTCTTCCGGCCTCTTAGCCTGGCCCTTTACCACCTGGTGAAGAAAGGTGAACCCATTCCCACCCCCCAGCTCACTCTGGAGTGCTGCTTGCGAAGCTTGACAAAGGGAGCCCCTTAAACTCAAAGCAGCGTGACCGCACACTCTCCACCTGGCTCAGCCAGATGCGGCCTCCTCCACCCTAAGCACTGCACGCCCTTCATGGCTCTGTCACAGCCCACACCCCAGAGTCTGCTCCCTGACACGAGAGCCACCCAGGGAAGGTCCACTCACAGAGGACAGAGGCTGGACTCGATTCCCCCCATTGCCTCCTGCCCAGCACACCCCCTCCCTCCACCCCAGGTTTGCTGAATTAGACCCAAATCAGATGAAGCTTTGAAGCTTTGGGTGGCCCCTCCCTGGCCTGTCACCCTTTAGAGCCAGCCAGGCCTGCCTGAGCTGCACGCTGGAGGTGCGTCTGGGGTGGGGCTCAGCAGGCGTCCCCAGGGGCCTCTGCCCCATCAGGCAACCACAGCCAGGAGTCTAACGTCCTGTCCATGACTCTTCACTTGTAGCTCAGTCCCCATGTGACACCAAAGAGTGTCAGAATGGCGGCCAGTGCCAGGCAGAGAGCGGCTCTGCAGTGTGTGTGTGCCAGGCAGGGTACACGGGGGCAGCCTGCGAGACGGGTGAGCAGCCTGCCCTCAGGCCGGGGACGGGCATGATGCTGGGTACGAGGGTGGTCAAAGCATGGCTCAAGACAAGCTCCCACCTCTGTTGTCCCCAGACGTGGACGAGTGCAGCTCTGGCCCATGCCTGAACGGAGGGTCCTGTGTTGACCTAGTGGGGAATTACACCTGCTTGTGTGCAGAGCCCTTCAAGGGACCTCGCTGTGAGACAGGTAACTGACCACATGCCTGCAGCCCTCCACAGGTGACAGTGGTCTTGTGCAGGGGCCTCCGTAGCCACTCTCCCCATTCCCTGCCTCACTGTCTGGCTCAGCCCCACCTCTGTCTCTGGGATGGGAGGAGGTCTCTGCCCTCTCCCCACTTCCCAGCCCCTCCTGCTCCAGCACACTGACCTGCTGTGTGAGGCCTAGCAAGTGTCTTCCCCTCTCTGGGCCCTAGTTTCCATCTGTGAAATGCAGGGATAGAGGACAATTCCTAAGGCCTTCCTCCAGCTGAGGTGATGCTCAGCTTTTTAACGTCCTTCCTTTCTAGCCCAGACCCTCACCATGCAAGGGGAAAACCTGCAGGAGTCAGAAAGAAACTGACCGTTACCACCGACCTTTATGCTACTGTTTTCTATTTTATTTAATATTGTTTTAAATGCTGGTTATGGCTTGGTAGATCAGTTAAAAGGCCCACTAGAGATTACAGCCCACAGGTAGAAAACAAGGCTTTAGTGTTTGACTCTTGCCCCAGCGTCCAGAGGCTTCCCCACTGTGCCTAGGGCTGCAGGTGCAGCCTGGGCTGCTTCTCCCAGGGAGATGTCACCATAAACTAGCCCACAGGTAGAAAACAAGGCTTTAGTGTTTGACTCTTGCCCCAGCGTCCAGAGGCTTCCCTACTGTGCCTAGGGCTGCAGGTGCAGCCTGGGCTGCTTCTCCCAGGGAGATGTCACCATAAACTATTCAGATTCATTCTGAGTTTTAAAAAATGAGGAAATTACATTTTAAGACACAGTAAGTAGGACACAGTCTTTGTGTCAGATGGCCATGCATGGGGGGCCAGGGTGTGCCCTGAGGGAAGGGTGAGGCTCTGCAGTGCAGAAGGGAGGACAGTGATGATCTTATTTGGTTTCTTTAAAGTCATTGTTATGTATCACAGTTCACCTTGCCCAGATTGCTATCTAAATGTCAGTGTATTCCACTAAACTCATGTCATAAAACAGACACATGGTTTCCAAAGATGTTTGCAAAGAAACCATGTTGTGCACGGAACACCAACAATGCAAGGGGAAGCGAATGATTAGGAAGAGCAGAGCTGACACTACTAATGTGAGCCACACTATAAGGTACAAAAACTGACCCTCTAATCAGATCTGACAGGAGGTTGGCCAAAAATTGGAGATTATTAAAAAAAAAAAAAAAAAAGTATCAGCTTCTGGCCAAGAAAAATTAACTGCTCTGGGGATTTCTCTCACCATCAACAACTAGAAAACCAGTCAAACTCTATGAAGCCCCTGTTTTCAGCCACCGGACAACAGAAAGCCCAGGACTGTCATCCCTGAGAGAGGGGATCAAATGAGATGAGCCCTGCAATTGCCCCAGATGCTGCTAGGGGCAGCTTCCAGGCCACTGTGCAGGGAGGGGGGACCCAAAGTCCAGCATCCCCTTGGGGGATAGAATACCAGAGAGGATGGAACTGCTGAGAGTGGGCCAGGAGCGTGAGATCAGGGCAGCTTCCAGGCCACTGTGCAGGGAGGGGGGACCCAAAGTCCAGCATCCCCTTGGGGGACAGAATACCAGAGAATGGAGCTGCTGAGAGTGGGCCAGGAGCATGACATCTGGAGGGGACCCCCTTGAATCTTTGGCTCAGCGTGATCTGGGTGGGATGATATCCACAAGGCGGGGAAAGAGCTACTAGAAAACAGGAAGTCAAACAATTCCAGGAGTTCAGACAGGGTGGGAGATAATTCACCTCCCTGCCAGGCAGAGTGGAGAGAGCTCTTCCTACCCAAGACCAGTGCTGAGTAGAGTCCTCAGTAGGGTATCCCTTCAGTAGTGGGAATAAGTAAGTGCTAAACTAAAGTCTAATATGGACCTGCCCTAACAAATCTTAAAAGAAAGTCTGAAAGGATCAAACTGATCCCAAGTCATTTAACCATTTGCCAGAATAAAATCCTGCACTCTTTAACAGGAGTATAACAGGAATATAACAGCATCCAGGACCCCAAAATTCCCAATCAAAAATTATCAGGCATACAAAGAAGTAAAATATAACCCACAGACAAAATAGGAGAAAATAAATCAACAGAAAAAAACAACAGAAATGACAGAGGTGGTAGAATTAGCAGATATAAATGTTTAATCACCTAGTGTGAACATGCTCCACGTACTCAGGTTTGCAGAGGATAAAAAAACATGAGACGTAGAAGATACTAAAAAAAGAGAAAGAAACCATAGAGGTGAAAAATATGTCTGAATTTTTAAAATACACTGGATAATACTAACAGCAGGTTAGACATTGCAGAAGGATCAATTAACTTGAAGAGGAAATAGAAACAATTCAGTTGCATCACAGACAGAATAAAGACTAAAAAAAGCAACAGATCTGCGGTGACCTGCAGAACAACATTAAGCAGTCTATCACGTGTGTATCTGAAGTCCAAGCAGGCGGATAGGCGGAGGGTTGCAGCGTTACAGAAGAAGTATGTGAAGAAATAATAGCCAAACATTTCCAAATGTGATGAAACCTAAGACCCACATTTCTGAAAAAGACATGAAGAAAACCACACAAAGCCACACCATCATCAAATTGCTGAAAACCAATCATGAAGAAAAAATCTGAAAAGCAGCCAGAGGAAAAAGACACATTACACACGGAGAAACAAGAACGGCAACGAGCTTGTCATCATAAACGAAGCGGCCCAGGGACACTGGAGTGCCACCTTTACAGTACTGAAAGAGAAAACGATCAGCCGAGTAGTATACACCCAGCAAAACTCTCTTTCAAAAATTAAGATGAAGTAAGGATGTTTTCACACAGGCAAAAGCCAACAGCATTCACCACCAGCATTACAAGAAATGCTGAAGGGAGTGCTTTAGTTGGGAGGAAATGGTACCGATGAACATGTGCACCTGCACAAAGGAAGGGCATGTGTCAGAGATGGTGGACATATGGGGAAGGCTTTCTTCTTACCTTTTAATCCCTTTCAAAATAATTTTAAAATAAAGTAAGAACAATATACTGTGGGGTTTATGACATATGTAGAAATAAAATGTGTGACACCAATAACATGAACCAGGATGTGCAGACTTTTTCTGTGGAGGGCCAGATAGTAAGTACTTTGGTTTTGGGAGCCATGTGGTCCCTGTCACAGCTCTTCAACTCTGCCCTCGAAGTTGACAGTGGCCAGCCATAGATAGGACATGCATGGATGGGCATGATTGTGTCCCGGTACAACTTTATTTTTTAAAATGAGTGGCAGACAAGATTTGGGCTGTGGGTGGGCCACAGTTTACCAACCCCTAGGAAGAAACATCATGAAGAAAAAATCTGAAAAGCAGCCAGAGGAAAAAGACACATTACACACGGAGAAACAAGAACGGCAACGAGCTTGTCATCATAAACGAAGCGGCCCAGGGACACTGGAGTGCCACCTTTACAGTACTGAAAGAGAAAATGATCAGCCGAGTAGTATACACCCAGCAAAACTCTCTTTCAAAAATTAAGATGAAGTAAGGATGTTTTCACACAGGCAAAAGCCAACAGCATTCACCACCAGCATTACAAGAAATGCTGAAGGGAGTGCTTTAGTTGGGAGGAAATGGTACCGATGAACATGTGCACCTGCACAAAGGAAGGGCATGTGTCAGAGATGGTGGACATATGGGGAAGGCTTTCTTCTTACCTTTTAATCCCTTTCAAAATAATTTTAAAATAAAGTAAGAACAATATACTGTGGGGTTTATGACATATGTAGAAATAAAATGTGTGACACCAATAACATGAACCAGGATGTGCAGACTTTTTCTGTGGAGGGCCAGATAGTAAGTACTTTGGTTTTGGGAGCCATGTGGTCCCTGTCACAGCTCTTCAACTCTGCCCTCGAAGTTGACAGTGGCCTGCCATAGACAGGACATGCATGGATGGGCATGGTTGTGTCCCGGTACAACTTTATTTTTTAAAATGAGTGGCAGACAAGATTTGGGCTGTGGGTGGGCCACAGTTTACCAACCCCTAGGAAGAAATAGAAGTCTAATATCATAAGGTCCTTATGTTATATAAAGTGGCATAATGTTTGAAAGTAGGCNACAACAAGTAATAATAATAATAATAAAGTTATAGCCAATAAACCAATTATGAAGATAGAATATAATCCTAAAAATAATCCAGAAGGCAGGAAAAGAAGTAAAAAAGAACAAAGAATAAGTAGGACAAATAAAAACCAAGAGCAGGATGATAGGTTAAATCCAGTCATGTCACCTGTTACATTAAAACATAAAGTGTTTAAACATGCCAAGTAAAAGGCAGGGGTTGCCACACTGAATTGGAAGGCAAGACCCAACTACATACTGTCTACAAGAAACCCACTGTAAATATAAAGACGCAGATAACTTTAAAGTAGTAGAAGGGGTTTCCAGTTCTGAGTAAGACAGAGTAAGTACACTGTACCCTGTCTCTTCCACTGAATGCAGCTATAAATCCTGGACAGATGCATGGAGTAGCTATCTGAGGACTCTGAAAAGTAAGTAGTAGCAAGTGGATTGGGGAAGAAGACCAGGCTTCGAAGTCCCATCCAACCAGTGGTGAGTTTACCATTTTTTTGCTCTGGTAACCCCCAAGCCTGGACTCAAAGCCACCCTGGACAGGAAGTGACCATCAGCGTGGACAAAAAGAGAATTCCAGGAGAAGCCCTCTAATCAGGCATCAGAAGCAGGACTAACAGTGGCAGAGGAAGGGGACCCTCAGGTGCCTAAAACCATGAAGGAGGGGACCCTTCCTCTCTAATTGGAGGTGCTATGGTTTCAAGGGGGTGGGGCAAATTGCTATTGTCTTTCCATCTCTCTGCTGGCCCCCCATTTGGCCCCAGCCATGAGTGCAGTCACAAGAAGTAAGTGGCAGGGTAGGGCAATTAAATCCCCAGCTTTCTTGCCAGAGGACCAAAAAGGGTAACCTCACTGAACTGGAAAGTACGGGGAGATTGTGGAGATGGTGAATCTTCAGACGGCAACTCCATATAGTCATTTATGAACTCTTGAGCTCCCCCAGGTTGGGCATGTATAATCTGATCCAAAGTTTTAAAGATAATACCATTTATAATAGCTCTCTTAAAATTAAAAGACATGGAAATAAATGTAATAAAGCATGTACAGAATTTGTATGCTGAAAACTACAAAACGCTCATGAAAGAAATCGAAGAAGATCTAAGTAAATGGAGAGACACACCGTGTTCATGGATTAAAGACTCAACACAGTAAATATGTTAGTTCTCCCCAGATTTATAGATTTAACATGATTCCAATCAAAATATCTGCAGGATTTTTTTGTAGATACAGACAAGCTGGTTCTAAAATGTATATGGAAAGGAAAAGGAATTTGAATAGCCAAAATAATTTTGAAAAAGAGGAATAAATTTTAAGGAATTACCCTACCAGGTATTAAGACTTACTGTATAGCTGCAGTGATCAAGAGCATGTGGTATTGGCAAAGGGATCGACACATGGATCAATGAAACAGAAGAGAGAATCCAGAATGAGACAAATATGGCCAATTAATTTTTGAAAAGGACATAAAAGCAATTCAATGGAGAAAGGATAATCTTTTCAATGAATGGCTTTGGAATGATTAGACATCCTTAGGTAAAAAATGAATCTCAACTTAAACCTTACTTACACCTTATACAAAGATTAACTCAAAATAGATCATACATCTAAATGGAAAACATAAAACTATAACATTTTTAGAAGAAAACATAGGAAAAAGTCTTGGTGACCTAGCTAGCCTTAGGTAAAGTGTTCTTAGATAAGATAGCAAAAGCATGATCCATAAAAGAAAACATAGATTAATTAGACTTTATCAAAATTTAAAACTTTTGCTCTGTGAAAGACATGGTTAAAAGAATGAAAGATAAGCTACACACCGGGAAAAATGTTTGCAAAACTCGTGTCCAAGAAAGGACTTATAGCTAGAGTCTCTAAAGGACTCTCAAAGTTCAACTGTGAGAAGCAAATAGCTCAATTTAAGAAAGAACAAAAGACTGCAAGAGACACTTAACCACAAAGGATAGATGGAGGCGAATAAGCAATGGACAGATGTTCTTGTCATTGTCATCAGCCATTAGTTGAATGCAAACCAAAGCCATGATGAGACACCACTACAGACCCACTAGAGTGGCTAAAATAAAGAATGCTGACCTGGTGTGGATGCACAGAACTGGAACTCTGACACATTTCTGGTGGGAATGCAAATGATCCAGCCATTCTGCAAACAGTTTGACAGATTTTTATAGTTAAACATACATTTATAACGTGACCCAGCAATCCCACTCCTAGGTATTAATCCTTAAGAATGAAAATGTATGTTCATGCAAAAATCCATACATGAATGTATTTATATCACGTCTATTTATATAATTATTAAAAGTCTGGGACCCAGGAGCTGGCCGGTTAGCATGCAGCCTTATAACACTCAGAGCACAGCCTTATTACACTGATATCCCCTTACCAGCCAGCCACCAAAAAAAAAATAAAGGCAAAAATCTGGAACCCAAATATCCTTCACTGGGTAACTGGATGGACAAACTGTCATACCTCTGTACACTGGAATACTACTCAGTCAAAATGAAGGACTAATTATTGATACACACAACAACTTAGCTGGATCTCAGAGGCATCACGCTAAGTGAAAGAAGCTGGTCTCAAAAGATTACATATTGTATGCGTCCACTGATATGGCATTCTTGAAAAGACAAAACTATAGTGATACACAGATCAGAAGTTGCCAGGAGTTTGGGGAGGGAGGAATCTGTGACTCTGAAGAGATAGAAAGAGGAAGTCTTTGAGGGTAATGGGGTGCTCTGTATCCTGATTGTGGTGGGGGTTGCACAAATCTATACATGTGTTAAAATTCATAGACATGTACACCAGACGAAAGTCAATTTTACTGAATACTAATTTACAAAGAAAAATTCTGAAAGTACATGAAGAAATTGAATAATTAAAAAAAAAAAATCCAAAAAAGTAATAGGTTGCAAACATGAATCAAGAAAAGGCTGGTTTCTGCTTGCCAAGCTGAGAAGAGAGAGAGAGAGAAGGCTGGAGTGGCTATATTGCAACAAGATAAATTAAACTTTAGAATGAGTAATACCACCAGGAATGGTGAGGGAACCTTTGTAGTGATGAAGGGTCAGTTCATCAAGAAGACATAACTAAATGTACTTGCACCTGTTAACACGTATTAACGTTTATTAAAATACACCAAGCAAAAGCTGACAGGACTGCAAGGAGAAATAGATTTCAACTCTCCTCTCCCAGTAATTCAAAGAATATGTAGACAGAAAATCAGTAAGGCTGTGGCAGACTTGAACTTGACCTGATTAACATTCCTAGAGCCTCACATTCTTCAAGTGCTCATGGGGCACCACCATGATGCACCACATCGTGGGCTGTAAAATAAGGCTCAATAAGTTTAAAAGTATTGTGTTTTCTGACCTCAGCAAAATTAAATTAGAAATCAACACCAGAAAGATCCCAGGGAAATCATACGTGTTTTACTAATAGGGATGCTGGATCAGAAATGCATGGAGGCCCCTGGCTTTAGGTGGGACCTCCAGTGCTTCTTTCTGAGTTCCAAGGAAGGAGCTAGGAGATGCTGAGCTCTGAGGGTGTGGAGCAGCAACAAACCAGTTTCCAGAAAATAAGCCTCTGGCTTAACTTCCACTGGACACCGAGAACAGAAGTTAAACCCAACAAGCACTGTGGGAATTGGGCAGGAGGCCAGCTTCCCCTTCCAGCCCTCAGCCTCATCCTCTCCAATGTGCTCTGCAAGGCTGCTGGTGACTGCTGTCTTTCTTGCAGGAAGCCACTCAGTGCCCGATGCCTGCCTCTCAGCTCCTTGCCAGAACGGGGGCACCTGTGTGGATGCAGATCAAGGCTACGTGTGCGAATGCCCTGGAGGCTTCATGGGCCTGGACTGCAGGGAGAGTGCGTCTGGGCTGCTGGGCCTGCCTGTGGGCAGCAGACTCCGGGAGGGTCCTCCCATGGGTTGTGCATGCAGGAAACACGAGAGAAACGTGTGTGAGAGTGTGCATGTGTTTGAGTGTGTGTGTGCGTGCACACAGCAGTTCTGATGGGAAAGTGGCTGGAGAAGGGCAGGGTCGAAAGAGGGCCCATCTTCCTGTGCCCCCACATGGGAGGCTCCTCCCTCTGTCCATGGCAGGAATCTCCGATGACTGTGGCTGCCGCAACGGAGGCAGATGCCTGGGCACCAACAGCACACTCTGCCAGTGTCCCCCCGGCTTCTTCGGGCTCCTCTGTGAATTTGGTAAGTGCCCAAGGCTGGGGCAGGAGGCATCCCCCTACCAGGGTATGAACGGTGGTGGGCCTGGTCCAGATGCTTGACCAGTGGTCCCGTGAACTCCCATCCCTATTCCCGGAAGGGCTGGCCACAGAGTGCCTGAACCTGGTCGCCATGGCGGGGTCACTGGGTCTGGGGCAGCTCCACCCTTGTCAGGGACTTGAGGTCCCCAGGAAGACACGTGGGGATATGGGTGAGCTTACCTTTTTCCGCAGAAGTCACGGCCATGCCCTGCAACATGAACACACAGTGCCCTGATGGGGGCTACTGCATGGAGTATGGCGGCAGCTACCTTTGCGTCTGCCACACCGACCACAACGTCAGCCACTGTGAGTGCTTGGGGACAGGCCTGCAGAGCCGGAGTCCTTCCAGAAACCAGGGACAGGGTGGAGAGAAGGTGGTGGGGGAAGCAGGCAGAGGCCAGGGCATCTCCTGCCCCCTGCTGACTCTGGGGAGGACCTGCATGTCTCAGAACCTCTCCCAGTAGCCTCCTTCTCTCACACGAGGCCAGATGTTGCCTCTTCACCCCTCACTTACACCCAGAGGGAAAAGCCCATTTACTGCAATACAAGCACCATGTAGCGTCTTCCCTAAGCCCCCAGCATAAGCTATTAAAAAACTTAATACATACACAGTTAAGTGTATGTAGTTTAACACATTTACCACAATATATTTGTTAGTGTATAGACGATCGGTCACTTACATTGTTATAATTACGTGTAATGTAATAATGATAATGTTGGAGGCAGTGATGTAGGAAGACATTTATGTATGGGAGCTCAGTCCTACCTCAAGGGAAGAGGGAGGGTGAATTCTGGGACACTCGAGAAAAAGAGAAACTCCAGGGAGGGGCCTTAGAGCTCTCTGCGGGGGGTCAAGACGCCTGCAGAGTGTATTTTACGTGGCCTTGGCTCTAGAGAGGATGTCAGGGTGACCCTGGCAGGCGTGGCTCCCGCCAGCCTCTTGCCACGTGCAGGAGGAGGCGCATGCTCCAGGACCGCCCTCTGCGCCCCTCCCCCCAGCCCTGCCGTCCCCCTGTGACTCAGACCCCTGCTTCAACGGTGGCTCCTGTGACGCCCACGATGACTCCTACACGTGCGAGTGCCCGCGCGGGTTCCACGGCAAGCACTGCGAGAAAGGTAGGGCGGGGGCGCCTGCGGCGTCAGCACCCTGGAGAGCGCCCGCCGCGTCCCCCGCCCGCCGCTCTGCTGTTTACCTGTGGCTGGCGCCGCACCCCTGCTGTTCTGTCACCTGTCCTGATCTGCAGCAGTGCTGGCCTGCTGGTCAGAGCTCTGCTTTCCTCAGAAGAGGCTTAGCTTCCTGCTCAGCGCTATTCCAAATAGATTTTAGAATCATTGTATTGACTGAAAAAAATTCATTAGGACTTCATTACATCTAATTCAAGGTGGAGGATGTTGATGTCTCACAACATTTAGCCACTTGAGAACCTAAGTGTTCTGTAAGTACATTCCTCGCCAACACTCACCCATGCAATGAAGTGGCACTCGGGACTCCCATCAGTGACCCAGACGTCTCAGGCATCCCCTTAGTCAGTGCCCAGAGGGTGGCAGCCTGACCCCAGGGAGGCCTGGCTAGTTCTCCTGGGGCTCAGCGCCCTCGGCAATCCCACAGCCCTTGCTCGTCTGGAGAACCAAGACCTCTGTGGATTTACCTGGACATCTTCCCATGGCTACTCTCCTGCCCTTTACCATGTCCCCGAGGGCAGGTTCCCGACAGTCTAAATCCTGGAATCCCATGGCTTCCCCCACCCCCACAGCAGAAGGAGAGGGGATTTCCAAAGAGAAGACCCCTCTGTTTGGTTCTCTGGAGGAGCTTCTGAGGCCTTTCACCCTGAACATTCTCTTAGGACCAACCCAAGCCCGCATACAGGCGCCCTGCCCAGGTCCACTCTTACCCTGCTGCAGCTGCTTGGCCCCCATGGTGTGCAGAGGCCACAGCACCCATGAAGTGTCCCACCCAGAGCCCACACTTCTCCAGGCTAGGCTCCCAGCACCCAGTGTCCCTGCCCAGCAGTCCTGTGCCCATCCCAGGAACTACACAGGCCTCCCCCAGGGTGCGGGCTCTCAAGAGCAGGTGGAGCCACCAGTGTGGACACCTCTGAGCCAGGGTGGGGACCAAAGGGGTACAACAGGTGGCTGCTCTCAGGGGTGGGGCCGCTGGAGCCTGCACATGCAGCTGGTGAGGCCCCTTGGGGTGTGGGTGGGGGAAGAGAAGGGGTGAGAACACTCTCCTGCTGCACCTGCCCCGAGAATGCCCCAGTCCACAATTCTGGACTCCTCATTGGCCCCTGTGGAGGTGTGATTTGTTTGATTTAGTGATTGTCACTCGATTCACACCTTTATGTGGATGCCTCAAGCACAGGCCCAGGCGTCTGAGCTCCTTGGGGGCCCAGAAAGTGGTAGGCCCAGAGAAGATGTGCCCACACCAATGCAGGCACAGAAAACATAAAAATAAAACTGACTGCCATGGATCTGGGTGTCGGGTCCGCTGCAACTCAGCTCCTCTGTCTTCAGATGTCAGATGTGTGTCACAGGAAGCGGGCGGCACTGTACTCACTGGCTGGGATGTGGGCCCCACTGTCCCAGAGCCCGGGGCAGAGAAGAGGATGGTGGGCAGACGGCCCCCGAGTCCGAGCGGGGGGGTCTCCAGATTGTGACCCCACCACACACCTGCTCCACTGGCTTGGCCCTTCTGCGTCTGGGCCTCAGGGCTCAGCTCTCAGCCCACCCCGTGCCAGAGGACCAAGAAAGCACAGTGGGGTGCGTGGGCCTCTGCAGGGCCAGGAGTCTGACCCTGCTCATCCGTCTCTCCCTGTCCTTCCACTCAGCCCGGCCACACCTGTGCAGCTCGGGGCCCTGCCGGAATGGGGGCACGTGCAAGGAGGCGGGTGGCGAGTACCACTGCAGCTGCCCCTACCGCTTCACCGGGAAGCACTGTGAGATAGGTGTGGCCCCTGGGGGGTGGGAATGACTGGCCAGCCCTGAGCTGGGGCCCTGAGCCCGCTGGAATCAGCCTGGATGGGGAGGAGCTGACTCCCAGCCTGGCCGCCAGCATCTGCCTCTCAGGAATGTTCTCATGAAGGCCCTAGCTCTGGGATGTTGGGAAACCAGGGAGGGTTGATGGGTCATGCCACCTGACCCCTCCAGGTGCCTTCTGCTTCCAGGGAAGCCAGACTCGTGTGCTTCCGGCCCTTGTCACAATGGTGGTACCTGCTTCCACTACATCGGGAAATACAAGTGTGACTGTCCCCCAGGCTTTTCTGGGAGGCACTGTGAGATAGGTAAGGTATGTGGGAGGCCAGCCCCCAGCCAGGCCAGGGCAACTGGGGACTTTGTCTCCTCTGAGACATGAAAAGAGGCCCCGTGGGCAGGGCTGGCCCAGGCCCTAGAGGGATAGGAGGCAGAGCTGGGTGCAGGAGGCAGGACACCCCCCACAACCCAGAGGCCAGCAGAGAAGACATGGTGATCAGGCTCCTCCTGCATTCTTGCAGCCCCCTCCCCCTGCTTCCGGAGCCCGTGTGTGAATGGGGGTATCTGCGAGGACCTAGGCACGGATTTCTCCTGCCGCTGCCAAGCGGGGTACACAGGACGCCGGTGCCAGGCAGGTGAGAGGACTGGTGGGGGGGGCATCAGGATGGGGGGCATGGGATTACTTCCTAATCTCTGCAGAATTGGGCAGCACAGCAATGGGGAAAAAAGGCAGGACACCTCTGGGGCAGCCAGTCCCCAGGTGAGAGGACTCGTGGGGGGGGCATCAGGATGGGGGGCATGGGATTACTTCCTAATCTCTGAAGAATTGGGCAGCACAGCAATGGGGAAAAACGGCAGGACACCTCTGGGGCAGCCAGTCCCCAGAAGTCAAGCACCTTCCCCCTAGGAAGGGTGGTGCTAGGAGCCAGGCAGGCCAAAGGCAGAGCAGTGGGGAGGGGCCCAGGCAGGTGCCCCACAGCTCAGGGCAGGTTGCTGTGTCCTGCAGAGGTGGACTGCAGCTCCCCTGAGGAGGTTAGGCATGCCACACTGCGCCTCAGCAGCACTTGACTGGGCTCGGTGGCCCCATACATGCATGACCGCAGCTACAGCATGAGCGCCCCCAGCCACGCCTAGGTCTGCCAGCCTCAGGGTGTCCAGAGTGAGCCTCCCCAGTGCTTCGGTGATTATGCAGGCCCCCAAAGGTGGGGTGGGGCAGTGGGTCCACACCCTCTCACCCAGCCACATGGAGGAACATGGGGGCTACAGACCCAAGGCTGGGCACCATTTCTGACCCTGGCCCTGCCCTCCTCCCAACCCTTCTCTTTGTGCATCGAGGCTGTGGGTCCTGTGGGTCCACTTTGCTCTGGACCTGTCTCTAAGGCTTTCCTGTCCTCAGAGCAACCCAGAGCCAGGAGTCAACACCCACATGCCCACTCTGCAGATGAAACAGCTGAGGCCAAGATATAGCCAGAGAGCAGAGTCCTAAAGAGGCAGATCTGGGTCCAAGACCCGCCTTCTACTCTTGACCCCACCCGGACCTGCAGAATCAGAACCTACACTTGAACAAGGCCCCATTCCCCCACAGCCATTTGAGGGGTGCTGCTCCAGAGAGCATTGCCTCCGGGATTGCACCCATGTCTGCCCTAGAGCTGGGGGGCATGGCCTGGAGGCAGGCCCCGCTTTGACCGAAGCCCCTGGAGAGGTGGGGCCATTAACACAACTGCAGGTGCACTGCGTTAAGCCAAAGCAGTCCCAGCTCTGTTCACCAGAAAGTCTGTGTGGTGCTCGTACAGTTTCCATCAAAAAAGGATTTTAAACACATAAGCTCAGGGATGGTGGGTGACAGCATGAGGAGATGAATGAGGCACATGAGCATATTACTGTCTCCCAAATGCCCCACAAAGCCCGGTCCAACCTGTGTGGCCCTGCTCAGGGGAAGAATTCTGGAAAACAGGCGGAGACCACCTGGCCTCAAGCATCTTTCTTTTACTCCTGTCCTCCCAACCCCAGGGCTGGTACATCACTGTCTAAGAGACCAACCTTCTCCCAGTGCTGCTTCTCCCCCAACATGCTGCCACACGAGAGGCCAGTGTCCTCAGAGAAAGTGAGCTCACCAGCCAAGAGACTGAGACACCGCAAGTACAACCGCCTCAAAAAGTAGGGCTGGCGGTCGGCTCAGGTGGTCAGAGCGCAGTGTCGTAACACCGAGGTCGGGGGTTCAGATCCCTGTACCAGCCGGCCACCACAAAAACGAAAAAAGGTCCACACAACACATACTATTAGAAGCAGAAGTGTGGAAGGTAGACAAGCAATATAAAATAATCACGACAAACACACCGACACAAACATGGCACTGGGGTCATAAATCACTTTTTAAAAAGTGGAAATAGGAAGATTAAAATATGTAAAAGCTGAATAACAAACATAATTTATAAGTGGATAAAGATGAGGAATAAGTTAGTGAGCGAAAGCTCAGTTTGAAGCCCTTTCCCAGGAAGGAGGGAAGGTGAAAAGTCAGAAGGAAAGCACGGAGCTGCGGGAGGCAGGAGAGCCGGCACCCACACCAGCAGCCCGAGCAGGAGAGGAGCAGCTCACAGAGAAAGCAATTTGGGAGTGGTGGTGGAGTTCAGTTCCCAGAATTACAGATGAGTGACAGGGTGAAAGGGTCCACAGAATGTCCAACAGGAGAAAAGGGAAATCAATACTATCCACATTGTAGTAAAATTTAAAACTACCATAGACAACAAAAAAATTGTCTTAAACATCCAGAGGGAGAAACGGATTACGTACAAATGTGGGTAACAATCAGATTGGCATTCAATTACTCAACAGCAACATCAGATGTAAGATCATGAAAGGATATTTTTAAATACTGAGGAGGTCCGTTTGGTTAGTAGGTGGACAGTTACAAAATACCATCACTCTCACTGTAACGTCAAGGAAACCTCATGAAGCCTATGAAGTCATATCTTTAACCTATCAAAGAGTGAAGCTGAGGCAAGTCCTTCCTGGGTAAGAAAGACTTGGCTGCGTTCTGCCCTGGGAGCAAACCCACTATGGGCAGGGAACTTTGAGGGACAGGGGAAATGCAGCCAAACTCTTCATGCTGTGGGAACGAGCACGACTGACTGGGATCAAGAGAAGCCACACATGCAGAGTAAGCCCTCAGCACTGCACAGTTCTCCCCACAGGACTTGTATGAGTGTGTGAGATGCCAGGGGCTGGTCTAGAAGTCAGAGAGAGATTTCACAGTCTCACAAGACCTCAGTCCCAAGTCCAACAGGAAGGAGAGGCCCGTTCCAATCCTCAAGCATTTAAAACCAATCATGAACTGAAACTACCGGAAACTCTGCTGCAGCCCCAACCCAGGGACTGAATTCCTAATGATATCAAAGAGACCAGCTACTCAACCTAGTCATTTGATAGAGAAGGGAACACGATCATCCTAGAGGTAGGAATTTTGCACTTTGGTCTCCTGTTCTTGTACATGCTGTGTCTGAGGAGCAAGAAATTATGACACATCATCTAGAGAAAAAATAGTCAATAGAAACAGGCCTATAGAAGGCCCAAATGCTGAAATTCGCAGGCAAGGACTTTTAAATGCCCTTATAAATATGTTAAAGAAAATAGAAAAGAGAGGCAAAATGAATGAGAGAATAGAGAATTTGAACAAAAACATTTTTAGAAGTAGCAAGAGTGATTCTAGAACTGAAAATACATCTGAGATAAGGAATAAATTGTAGGCTTAACAGAACAGATATGACAGGAGGAAAATGTCATGGACCTCAAGGACAGGACAACAAAGCTATCTAAACTGCAGATGAGACAGGAAAAAAACCATTAAAAATGAATTACGAATTATGAATAAATGAATTTTTTAAAAACAGAACAGAGCATCAGAGATCTGTGGGCCAACATCAAACAGGCAAGCAAGCACAGACTGGAGTCCCAGAAATAGAGGATGGAACAGGCAAAACAAATATTTGAAGATATAATGATTAAGCATTTTCTAAAAATGAAGAAATACACCAACCCACAAATTCAAGAAACACAGCAAATCCCAAACAGGATAAATTTTTTTGTGTGTGTCCTTTTTTTGAGACCGGCCACACCGCGCTCAGCCAGTGAGCGCTGTGAGCGCACCGGTCATCTCTATATAGGATCCGAACCCGCGGCGGGAGCGCTGCTGCACTCCCAGCGCCGCACTCTCCCGAGTGTGCCACGGGCTCGGCCCCAAACAGGATAAATATTGAAATAAACTTAAGGACCAAAAGTTTTTATCCAGTCAAATTGTTATTCAAATAATTTTGAAACAGCTCTTGGGTCAAAGAGGAAATCACAATGGCCATTGAAAATATTTTTTAAATAATTAACAATGAACTCTTTGTATATCAAAACTTGCATGATGTGGCAAAAGCAGTACTTCATGAAAATCCAAAGCCTCACTACCCATGTTAGAAAAGATCAGACTTAATGAACTAAATGTCTGATTTCAGAAGTCAGGAAAAAATAACAAGTGGTACTAAAGACAGTGGAAGGAAAGAGGCAGTAATTAATGAGATAGAAATCAAAGGTGCAAAAGAAAAGTTTAAAGCAAAAATTAGTTCTTTGAAGAGCCTAATAAAATGGACAAATCTCTACAAAGACTGATAGGAAAAACAAAAAAGCACAAATAAAAATCTTTATAAATGAAAAAGGTGACATAACCATAGATTAACAAGATAATAAAAGAACACTATCAACTACACTGTACAAATAAATTGGAAATCTTAGGTGATATGGACATAATACTCATGAAAAAATACAATTTCATAAACGTGACTCAAGGAAACACAGAGCACCTATAGAGTCCTGTGACTAAAGAAACTGAAGCTGCAGTTCAAACATTTTCCCACAAAGAAACAACAGGCCCAAACAATTTTATAGGTAAATCCTACCAAGCTGCCAAGAAACAGATCATTGTGGTATTACACAGACTCTTCCAGAGAGCAGAAAATAAAGAATATGTGCCAACACATTTTATGAGGCCAGTATAACACTGATGCCAACCCAGACGTGAATAACAGGAGACAGGGGAATTTTGGGCTCATTGAACATATGAACATGGATGCAAAAATTCAATAGTCTATAAAGACTATGTGCACCATTATCAAGTTGGATTGTTGCAGGGATAGTTTGATATTAGAAAAAACTGCTACACTACCAATTAAAGGAGAAAAATGATAAGAATCTCAATTAATGCATAAACATTTGACACAATTCATGCCCAATAAGGAATAAAAACATGCTTTCTTATTCAGATAAAAGTAACATGACATACACACCTTTAGTACCACATGATGTAAAATAAAACAGGATTTATTGGAAGGAAAACTTAAAAGAGAAGTAACTGAGCTCAGATAAGCCCCCAAGTGTTCATTGCCCAGAGAGGTGTGCCAGGCACAGCTAGACCGGGGGGCCATGGGAGGAAGCACACAAGCACAGGCCACACACTTACAGGGGAGGGGACAGGCTTCATCAGGGGAGCTGCACGGCAGCGAGACCCCTGATCCTGGTGGCACAGGGAGGATCTCGAACTCAAAAGCCATTCTTCCGCCCAACTGACCTAGATGTGCTGCACTGTCAGTAGAAGGAGGGAAAGTAGCTTCTGAGGCAACTCTGCTATGCATCTCCTGAAACCAAGAATAAACAGTGTCCTAGACAGAGAAGCATTCCCCTTAAGATTGGAAACAAGACAAGGATGCACATTTACCTCCAATTCTAATCAATATTGTATTGGAAGTACTAGCCAATGTGATAAAGCGAGAAAAAGCAACTAAAGTCATGAAAATTTGAAAGGAGGAAGTAAAAACATCAGTATTTGTGGTTGATATGGTTGTCTTTAATCTACAGGAAAACTACCAAAAATGACAGAAAATGTAGATGTTTAGCGGATGTAGGTTATTATAACAGAGTTAACTGCATGTTTATATATCAGCCACAAACAATTAAAAGGTAATTATAGAAAAGACAGATAAAAACTAATGAAACCAAAAGCTAGTTCCTCGAAAAGATCAATAAAATTGGTAAATCCTAGCTAGACTGGTCAAGAAAAAAAAGATAGATTAGCAATATCAAAATAAGTATAGCGATGCCACTAAAGATCCCCCCCAATATCTAAAAGACAACAAGGGGTACTGTGAACAACTTTAGGCCAATGTATCTGGCAACTTGTGGGAAATGGAAACTTTGAAAGACAAGTGCCAGAACTGACACAACAGTCAGGAGGACACCTGCCTAGCCTAATGTCTACTGAAGAAATTTCATTTGTTATGCAAAGAAAACAGGACAGGATCAGATTGCTTCACTGGTTGATACTGTCGAACATTTAAGAAAGCATACTTGTTTCTGATCTTACAGAAACAAAAAAGGAAAGAAAGGATACCAACCTTACTCAAGCTCTTTTAGAAAATGCAGGGGGAAGGAACACTTCTCAGCTCATTTGATGAGAACAGTATTGTCTTGATTCCAAAGCCAAGATACACGTATTACAATAATTGAAATTACAGACTAATGTCCCTCATAAACATAGACACAGAAATCCTAATAAAATATTACTAAATCAAACCCAGTACTACATAAAAAGGATAATACAACCATGACCAATAGGATTTATCTCAAGAACACATGTTGGCCTAACATTTGAAAATCAATTAATGTACTTTACCATATTAGGAGATAGAGGAGAAAACCATATACCTCAATAGAGGCAGAAAAATCATTTGAAGAAATTCAACTATTATTAAAACCTCTTAGTACACTAAGAGTAGAAAGTAATTTCCTCAACTTTATAAAAGGCATCCATACCTAAGAAAATGCTTAATGGTGAAAGACTGTCCCTGTAAGCAGGAACCAGGTAGGGGAGAAGTCTGAAAAGCCTGTATGGGTGAGAATGTGGATCAACAGGATTTCTTATCAATTGCTGGCAAGAGTGTAAACTGGTATAAGCACTTTAAAAACAATTTGATAATTTGCCTGTTGATTTGGCCATTCGTATAACCTGTGTCCCAGAAATTCCACTTACAGGTATAAACCTAAGAAAAACTTGCACATGTGCACTGGGAGATACGAGATAATATACAGGCAGCATTTTTGTAGTAGCAGAAAGTCTAGAACCAACTCAAATGCCCACCGGAAAGAATGGATGAAGTGTGACGCAATCACACTATGGAGTAGGGGAAATCAGTGAACCACACGGCCCACAACAGCTTGGAGCTCTCAAGCCAGCATCGAGTGAGAGAAGAGGATGTGCATCACAACAACCTACTGGCAAGACCCACAGACAGGAAACAGAACCACGCATTGTCTAAGGCAATTCACAGAATTTTCAAAATATGTTAGAACAGCAAAGAACTGATGACCACAGAAATCCGCATCACCAGGGAGGAGGACGGCACGTGACCAGATGAGCCCCTCAGCATCCTAGCTCCCAGGGTGGGTGCTGGTCCCTGGTGTCATTAGGTCATTGCCATCTATTTACTTACTTTTTAAGCATTAAAGTTACACTTTTCTAAAATGAGACACAAACTCAGGAGCACAACTTCCAATTTAAAAGAAACCTGTGGTGAACCTTTGAAAACTGAAGACTGGTCTCCACATGTATTGGTTTCGTACCGTAATTGTTACACATTGAAGTGGCGAGATTGGGTGTAAGACCTTTCTGCCAAACCCCCGAGGCCTTTGGCCTGTCCACCTGAGAGCTGTTGGAAGTGAACCCCTCAGCGTCTTCTGTGAACCCTTCTGTGATTACGAATGTCCCCAGCCATTCCACAGACCCTGAGCCCCAGGCGTGTGTCTACTGCCCCACGCCTCCCCTTCAGTGCTGTCCAGCCCTGGTTTCTGGCCTCTCCAAGTAATAAGAGGATAGCGTAGAATTCTGTCGGGCCCTTCAAAACTAGTTTATGTCTATCTTAATTTGGCTTAATAATGGCCACATTGCTTTACTCCTGGGGTCTCTCCTCTCTCAGAAATTGATGAATGCCAGTCTCAGCCGTGCCAGCATGGGGGCTCCTGCCAGGACCACATCGCCGGGTACCTGTGCCTCTGTAGCACAGGGTATGAGGGAGCCCACTGTGAGCTGGGTAAGATGGTCTCAGCCCCCACTGGGGATGGCAGCCCCAGAACCCTGACCTTGTGCCTGAGGCCTTGCTCCACCTCTCCTCTCCCTGGACCGGTCTCTGTCTGGGTGGCCGGGGGTGGGGCCCTGCCAGCTCTGACATCCAGGATGGAGATTTATAACCATCTCTGCCTCCACCTCCCCAGAGACCGAGAGCTTAGCTGAGAAATGCTGACCTGGCCTCAGACTCTGGGCTCAGGAGGCAGAGAAGGTGGGGAGTGGACAGGGCAGGTCACAGCCTCTGAGGCCCAGTCTGGTGCTACTGCTGGACAAGCCCTGCGCCCCCTTTCACCTTGGTAGGGCTCTAGGCCCTGAGAGACAATGGCCCAGCAGGGAAGGCAAGGCCCGGGGAGCTGTGTCTTGTTGTGGCCCCTGGGGAACTTCCTGGCTTGAGTGGCGTGGAGTGCAGTAGTGGCCTGAAGTGGGGCTTTGTCGGCAGGCAGTGGAGGTGGCAAGTCTACCAAGGAAGGGCAGGTGTGGGGCTGGTGGAGGAAAAGAACCACATCCAGAGGAGTGATGCCTGGGCAGGCAGGGTGAAGCATCCTCAGGAAGTACACAGAATCCCAGGGAGTGTAGCCAATGACACCCTTTCCCTGTGCAGAGATAGACGAGTGCTTAACACAGCCTTGCAGAAACGGTGGTTCGTGCAGGGACCTCCCAGGGGCCTTCGTCTGCCAGTGCCCTTCAGGCTTTGTTGGAGTCCACTGTGAGACAGGTAGGGGCTCCCCTAGGGTGGGTCCCCATGTGCGCAGCCTGGGCTGAGCAGGCCACCCCGGGGAGAGAGACAGCCAGGGCTGGCGGCTGTGTGGGGTGGGGGCGGGGTGGGGGTTGTGGGGAAGGCTGAGCATCTCCCCAAGAGCCCCTCCCACCGCCCCCCCGGCCCTCCCCGTCCTTTTCCTTCTTCCTGCTGTCCTCTCCTCCCTCCCCCAGACCCCTTCCTGCGGCTCGGGCCAATTCTCTGGGTGTTCTCCAGAGGTGGACGCCTGCGCCTCCAGCCCCTGCCAGCACGAAGGCCGGTGCGAGAAGGGCGACGGAGCCTACCTGTGCGTCTGCCCAGAGGGCTTCTTTGGCTACCACTGCGAGACAGGTGGGGCAGCAGGCCAGCCCGTTCACCCGGGGCTCCACAGCTGCCTCCTTGGAAGGCCCCTTCTCAGTCCCCTGGCTAGTGGTCCTTTGTTCTCCCTTGGTGCCCCCATCTCCTGCATTCACCCTTCCTGACAGCCCCACCTCACCTGAGTGCATGCCCAGGCCGTGGCCTCACATCCATGCAGAGCCCTGCTGTCCCTGGACAGGCCAAACTCATCGCAGCCCCAGGGTCAGCACTCGCTGTCCCTTCCATCTGGAATCCTCTCCCCCACCAGCCCACAGTGCAGTTCCTCTGGATGAGCCATCCAGCACTGACCTGCAGGGGATCCCCACTCACCACTGTTTTCCTTTATGGCACTTGGGATCTCTGGAGTTGCCTCTTTCCCAACCTGCTGAGTGTCATGGGGGTGGTGGACTGACCTGTCTGGGCTGAGTGTCTCTGGTGCCTAAGCTGGGCCTGGCCGGCCGTGCTCAGCGGCATAGGGTGGACAGTGGCTACGCAGCCCGAGCCCACCACAGGGCCGCAGGGGTGGTGAAACTGCAGGGAGGCAGGACCGCTGTGGGGCTGCCCCTCTATCCCACACCCAACACAGGAGGGACCCAGCACCCCAGAGCACATGGAGGAGGAGGCCCAGCCCCCCATGCTCACTGCTGCTCCCTCCCCTAGTGAGTGACCCCTGCTTCTCCAGCCCCTGTGGGGGCCGTGGCTACTGCCTGGCCAACAATGGGTCCCACAGCTGCACCTGCAAAGTGGGCTACACAGGCAAGGACTGCACCAAAGGTGAGGCAGCGAGGGCGGCAGGGGGCTCCCTAAGGCAGTGCATCCAGGCAGCTGCTTTCACAGGCCTTTAGCTGAGAAGTGGCAGGGGACAGAATCCCGGGTGCATTAAATGCAGTCACACATGCCCACACTGGGGGAGGGCAGCAGGGGGCTCCCTAAGGCAGTGCATCCAGGCAGCTGCTTTCGCAGGCCTTTAGCTGAGAAGTGGCAGGGGACAGAATCCCGGGTGCATTAAATGCAGTCACACATGCAGAAGCGTGGACCCCCCTGAGGCGCGTGGCCAGTACCCTAGGAAGCTCCCCCGGCAGCTGCCCGAGCCAGGCCCAGGCAAAATGCCTGACCTGGCAGGGGCTTCCACGCCAACAGCTGACCACTCCCCTTCCCTTGTGTTTTGATCGAAACTCTGAAGAGCTCTTCCCACCAACGGCCCTCAAGGTAGAGAGAGTGGAAGACAGCGGGGTCTCCATCTCTTGGCGCCCACCTGAAGGCCCATCTGCCAGGAAGGTGCTCGATGGCTATGCGGTCACCTACGTCTCCTCCGATGGCTCCTATCGCCGCACAGACTTCGTGGACAAGAGCCGCTCTGTGCACCAGCTCCAGTCCCTGGCAGCTGGCAGGGCCTACAACATCTCCGTCTTCTCAGTCAAGCGCAACACCAATAACAAGAACGACATCAGCAGGCCCACAGTGCTGCTCACCCGCACACGTGAGTGCCGCCAGAGCACTGGCCATGTCTGCCCCCCTGCCCTGTCCTGGAACCAGCCTTGACAGGAGCAGGGGCTGACACCCAAGGCGGGTGGGGCAGACATAGCGTCTGCAGCCGAGGCCCATGGGACTGCAGGCCCTGCCACTGCGCTGTGGACAGAGCTGAGTGGACAGAGCCGACCTCCCCACGGGAGTGGGGGGACGATAAACAAGGTACAGACATAGAATATAGACACTGGAGAAGGAATGGGGGCTCCCTGAAAAGGCACCTGGGAGGAGCTGGTGCCAGGAGCAAGGTATTAGGGGCAGGCGGTGGGCAGCCCTGTGGATGTTTTCAGTGGAATCTGAAGCCACTGGAGAATCTCACACAGCTGGGTGGCATGACCTGATGTGGACTGTGACAGGTGCACTGCCTGCCCTCTGACCATGGTGGAAGCAGGGAGAGGCTGGGAGCAGTGGGGAGGGTGAGGACGGTGAGGTGTGTAGCTCTGGACTACCCTGAGGTGGAGCCTCGGGACGGTCCACGTGAGTGTGAGGGGGTCATCATTGGGACAAGCCTAGGGGTAGTGCCAAGAGAGGGCATCTAAGGCTCATCCCCTGAAGGGGGCAGTCCAGCTGGAATTACAGATCCGGAGCTGTGGACTGCAGCTGGCTCTGAAAGCAGAGACCAGATGCAATCCCCGACAAGTGGGGCGGGCTGAGGGGTACCAGGCGAGGAGGGGTCCAGGAGGCAGAAGGCAGTGGCTTGAGGAGGGAGGCCTTGCACGAGAATGGAGCCTCCACAGAGCCCTCCAGAGAGAAAGGGCAGCCAGGGTTCAGGCATGAGGGAGGACAATGCTGTGCAGGAGAGGAGAAAAGGGGGTGGCACGTGTACAGGAGGCTTTGAGGGTTCCAGCTCACTGGTCTGTGGATGAAAAGGATCCAGGGGAGGGGGAAGAATCCCTAGAACACACCCATGGATGGATGAGGGGTAGGATCCTGCACAAAGCAGAGGGGAGGGAGCTGAGGTGCAGCTGATACAGGGGCCAAGGTTGGGTACAGGGCCGTGGGGGCTGTGGAGGAGGCCGTGGGGCTCTGTGTCCAATGTGCTGGGTCCTCAAAAGACAAGAGCAGAGAATGGGGAAGGGGCACTAGAGGCTTGAGGAAGGAGGGAAAGGTGCTTGGAGTTTGGACTGAGGAGTGGTGGGACCATCGCTGGGGGTCAGGGATTCGGGGTGAGGCCTGGCACCCGGCAGGGCCCTCCCAGCTGGCCACAGGAGTGCATGTGGGGAAGCACGATGGTGTTGACTGGCTGGACCAGGCGGCAAAGCAGAGAGCAGCTTGGCGGATCTCCTAGGAGGATGGCATCCTGGAATCTGCTGGGGTCCGGCCAGGGCTGGCACTGAGTGCATGGAGGGCAAGGGACAGGACAGCAACACAGGATGGGCCGAGCCCACCTGGGGGAGCCTGGAGGGACCCACCATGCAGAAGATGTATGCCCTGGGGACTGAGCAGGGGAGTCCTGAGGCCGGCTTCAGGAAGGATGCCCATGCAGCTGCCCGAGATGGAGTCTGCCCTCGAAAGGAGCTTCTCCCCTGCCCACATCAGAGAGGGGTCTTCACCAGGAGACCAGGGTGGGGGTAGGGTCCACTGTCCACGCCCTGGCCACTGGACTAGGGCAATGTGCCAACAAAAGCTGAGGGCTGCCCACTGGGCTCTCTTAGTCTGGGGGGTGGCCCCTACCTGACCCCTCAGCAGTGGCACTCAAACCTCTGAGGGGACTGGACGAGTGGGAAACTGAGCTCACAAGCAGCCTCTTCCCAACAGTCACTAGGGACTCTCCGTGGCTTCTGTCCCACTAGGCCCAGCATTGCCCACACTGTGCCCAGATCTTCACTGTTAGTGAGACCAAAGCAGTCAGCAGCACAAAAAAAAGAGGGGACAGCCAGGGTCAGCCCATGTCAGGAAGGACCCACCACCCCATGGCCTGTTGGTCATATCTAAACTGGGAGCAAGATCCAGCCTCTGGTGGCCCCGTCCCCACCACCTGAGTCCTCACTGAGCAGCTGAGGGAACAGCTCTCCCATCACCTCTTTGTGACCCCAAGCACCTTGCCAAGCCCGGTCTCGTCCCGAGTCCCCCACCCCCCGGGGAGTGAGGACCTGGCAGCATCTGCTGAGCACACTGTTGCCCCTAGGCCCACGCCCTGTTGAGGGCTTTGAGGTCACCAACGTGACGACGAGTGCCATCTCAGTGCGGTGGGCTCTGCACAGGATCCACCATGCCACCGTCAGCCAGGTGCGAGTGTCCATCCGCCACCCTGAGGCCCCCGAGGCCCAGTCCACCGATGTGAACAGGAGTGTGGACGGGTTCACATTCGGGTAAGAGAGCAGCCTAGGGCTCGGGGCTAGAGCAAGGGCAGGGGCTTACATGTTCTTCATGTCCCTGCTGTGCACCTGCGGCTCCCCACCTGGGTGGGTGGGTGCCAGGATGAGCCAACCTCTGCTCCTGGGGTCTCACTCCTGCCCTGCCTGTCACAGGGCCACCATGAGCAGCAAGTTCTTCAGCAGTGTCAGAAGGTGTCCAGAGAAGGTAGGGGAGTTCTAAAACTCTGGGGCCGTGCCTCCTGCACAGATACTGAAAGAATGGCCTGGCCACCCAGAGGGCAGCTATCAGGGAGGCTGGAGAGACACCCCGGGTTACATCAGACAGCTCCTGCCTGGGCACCTGTTGGCTTCCTGGTGCTTCTGCTCCACTGTCTTCCCAGAACCCTCCCTTTATCTTTTAAATGTTTTCATGACTTTTCCTGATTTACATCCTAGCCACTTCCAAAGAATGACTTGAGGTGGCTCATGACAGACACACAAATGAGGTCCAGGGCAGGCACTTAGTGACTGTGTTCCAGGTCCCCAAGACCAGCCCAGGTCGATGATCCTCTTTGAGTCCTCAGCATGGAGCACACTCCCAGCTGAGCTACATTAGGGAGGAAGGTGCGAGGGAAATCAGCGGGGGAAGGTGCGCGGGCAGGGCCTGGGGGAAACCGGGCACGAGCTGCTGGAATCTCCTCCCAGAGTCATGCAGCATGTTCTCAGTCCCAGCAACAAGTTGTGAGGACACATGTGAAGTGTGGACTAGCAGGGGAGCCCACCAGTGGCCCCGCACCCACAGTGGTTTGGAGGGTTCCGCAGCACCTCTGCCCAGTGCCTGTGCAAATTCCAGGCTCCACACGGTCTGCACAAGCAGTTTGTGTGCAGTGAGCCCCTCTCATCTGTTAGGGTGGTGGGGATCTTCTCAAATTCAAGTTCCCAGACACAAGCCAAGGGCCAATTTGCAGGCAGGCCCTTCTGAGGAGAGCAGCCAGACAAGCTGTTACCCTTTTCTGCACAATGACCTTTTCCAGTGCCCCTTTTCTGGCCTCTCCTGTCTGAAAAGCAGCTCTCTGACCACTGCAGCTACCCCATGAGCACTCGAACTTTCTCAGCCTCTCTCACAGGACTAGACAGACTGTGGAATGGTTTCCCACCCGAGGAGCACATGGGTCTGAGGACCCCACATCTGCCCCTTGTGGAGAAGCCTGCACACCAGAAGCAGGACAACCCACACCCATGGTCACATCCTCTCTGGGGAGCCGTGGTCCAGCAGCAGAGATGGACACAGGCCCCCCAAGACATTCCTGTTCTCTCTCCCTTGCCTCCCCTCCTGGCAGGGCCCTGCTGCCTGGAAGGAGATACACCATCCAGGTGACCACTCTCAGTGGGCTCGAGGGAGAGGACCATCCCACGGAGAGCCTTGCCACCACACCACTGCACGTGTGGACACGTAAGTGGAGCAGCGTGGCCTCTGGCTCACACAGGGCTTTATTCCAGAAGCTCTGACCTGCTGCCTGTATCCTTCAGTCCTCTCCAAATTGTCCATGATGCTAGAAACCCAGCCCTTGGCCTCCCAGAGGTTTCTTCCACTCAGACTGCCAGGGAGGGACCATTGCACTGGGCTGGTCTGGATCCTCCTGCTGGGGACATCAAACACAGCCACCCTCAGCACTCAAAGGCTCCTGGCTTCTGGCAGCTCCTCAAAGTGGCCCCTGCTGAACACTGACCAAAGGGCCAGAGGCGCACGCTGGGCCGAGGACACCCCACTGTCCAGGGCTCTGGGACCGTGTGACCAGCCCAGTCTGGCTAAGTGCTGTGGTGTCCCTCAGTCCACATCACCCCCAACACATGGGAGGAGAGAGAACATGGGCAGGCAGTGCCACGAAAGGGGAGGTTGCAGGTAGGTCTGCAGAGTTGAGGTCTGAGCAGGACCCTGCAGGGGGGGCTTATTCTGTGTCTCCTTGGGCTCTAGGACTCCCTGTCCATGGCATTCAGACACAGCCCACCTGGGGGAGGCATGTGGAAAGGCAGGGGAGTCAGTACTGGGACCTGGGCCCACCCTCTGCCTTTCTAGCCCACTCCCCTTATCTACATTCCAGGAAGGTCTGCACAGCCAGACTCAGGAGGATCGAAAGTGCCACGTGGGAGGGCACTAACCTGCCAAAGGCAGCAGGGCTTTGCTGAGCAAATCCAAACCTGAGGGGAGGGCGATGTTCTGGGGGCCGTCCATCCTTACAGCTGCAAAGGCACTCTCCCGCTGTTCCTTAGAACTATAAAATCATCCTATAAAAACAGACTATAAATCACACTATAACCATGACTACATCTGGCTTCAAATGAGCCTTTAGCATCCGTCTCAGATCTTAAACTGTGTCCTCGTGAGAAGACCCCTTCACCCATTCTTCACCTCCCTCGCCTGCTCCATGCCTCATCCAGGGCCTCTGCCTCCAGCAAACCTGACTGCCTCCCGAGTCACGGCCACCTCCGCCCATGTGGTCTGGGACGCCCCCACCCCCAGTGCCTCACTGGAGGCTTATGTCATCAACGTGACCACCAGCCAGAGCACCAAGAGCCGCTACGTCCCCAACGGGAAGCTGACGTCCTACACGGTGCGCGACCTGATGCCAGGGCAGCGGTACCAGCTCTCAGTGACGGCAGTGCAGAGCTCGGAGCATGGCCAGCTGCACAGTGAGCCTGCTCACCTTTACATCATCACCTGTGAGTGCTGCAGGGCTGGGCAGGGTGGCTGCAGCCAGCCATCGAGGCCATCAGGATTGGCTGGGTGGTGCAGGGGGCCTGCTGCCATCCTCGGGGCATGGTGTCCTTATCCAGGAGAGACGGTGTCCTCCTGCTGTACTTCAGGATGCTGACTGTGCATGGGACATCAGACAGATGGCCTAGACACAGGACATGTGTTAACATGGGAGAAGTTCCTGTATGAACATGGAGGCTTTCCAGTTGGCAGGGAAAGAAGGCCTTACTAACAGATGGCACTAACAATTTGGGAAAAGAAGCCTGTCGAGCCTCCTCTTGTGCTGTACCCCCTAAGTAGACCCCGGACGGTCGGACAGTAAATGCAGGGCACCACCTGGAACAGGCACTGAGAGCAGGTGGCGTAGAGGAGGCCTAGGAGGGCAAGAGCAGCCCAGAGCAGGGTGCAGAGGCTCAGAGGCCACGCTGAGGATACGTGTTTGTTCCCAAGTGCCATCTGGGACCTGCCTGTTCCCTCCAGGGTCCTCTTGCCCTGCTTACCTTGCACACAGGGTGCCATGGGCAGGTGGTTTCTCTGGGCAGTGCAAGAGCGGAACACGGGAAGAAAGAGGAGGAGACAAACACAGAGGAGTGGCCGTGCCAGACAGAGGAGCCCAGAGAGCAGCCTCAGGGGCTCCCAGCAAGGGCAGCACTCCCTGCTCCTCCCCAACCCATCAGGCTACCCTCAGGGCAAAGCACACATACTCTGAGAGTTTCCACATCCAACTCTGCCACTACCACCAGCTCAGCTCCAGCACACCTGCCAGGTGGAGAGGGCAGGTTGGGGCCTCTCTGTAAGCCAGTCAAGAACAACTGAGTCAGGGGACATGATAAGGGGATGAAGAGGGCAGGAGTGGCTCGCAGTATGAATGAGGTGCCCAGCCTGAGACATGAAAGGACGCTGTTAGGGTGACAGATCAGCCTCACTCTCCAGGCCTCAGCTGAGGTGTCACCTCAGGAACAGCAGCCTGGGGAGGAAAGCTATGACTCTGGGCAGCCTAGGGCAAGTCCCTGCGCCTGGCTCCCGCCATCAGATGGAGAACTTGCTTCCAGGGTGGGGGCTGGGGCCAGCATCTGGACTCAGAACCCCCTGTGATGCCCAGGCCAGCGTGTGTCTGTGTCACGGCATGCATTGCCTGTGAGCAGGTGGGCAGGGAGCAAGGCTCCAGGGCTCTCAGGAACACACAAACCCCGCCCATGACCACATGCCGGCACGCACTCCCCCCTTCCCCTCTCTAAGCATAGCCTAGTGTGAGGTGCCCCTTCCCGTGCAGCATAGCTGGGGATGGGAGCCAAGGGCAGCCCCGCCCAGCCCCCTGGGCCACTGCCCTTCTCCCACCTGCTCTGCAGCCCCCAGGGATGGCACCGACAGACGCTGGCCCCAGGGAGGACACCATCCACGGATGCTCAGAAATAGACTGCCCCCAGTGCGCCTGCCGGAGCTGCGCCTACTCAATGACCATGGTGCCCCCGAAACACCGACCCACCCCCCCAGGTACACATCCAGCCATCAGCCCCCATCATCCTGAGGCAATGCTCGAGCCATGATGACCCTCTTATCCTCTCTGCAGGTTCTCAGAACTTGTGGATGGCAGAGGAAGAGTGAGCGCCAGATTTGGTGGCTTGCCCAGCAAGTCTGTCACCGTGGGATCACGTGAGTGCTGTGGCCTCCCTGGCACCAACTTTGTGGCCAACCTAGTGGCCTCACTGCCACTCTCACCAGCCTTGTCCCCAATATTAGTGCTGAGGCCCTTAAGAACTGAGCTTAAAGACACCCAGTGCTGTCCCAACCAGGGACCCCAGCCCCACAGCACTGGCAGCACAGACCATCCACAGTGTCAGGGAGTGGGCTAAAGGTTCAGGTTGCTGGCATATAAGAGATGATGAAAAATCAAAATGTTAGAAGTAGACCAAGACATTAGGGAAGCTCTGCTGGCAGTCAGGATTCCGAGTTTTGTTTAGTAAGCGGCAGACAGGAGGCTAAGATGCTCTAAGTTTCTGCTACTGGAAGCATGTCCTTGGACCAGCAGCGCCAGCCTTGCCTGGGAGCTTATGATCCCCACCTGGAGCTGTCCAACGGATTGTGCCCTTTAACAAGGGGCAACTGGCATGCACCGCACAGTGCAAGGAGCATACATCCCTTTCGATTTAAGAGGTCATGTTCTAGGGGCAAGCCTTTGGGTTCTGGTCCTGCTCAGACCCGGACAAGCTGAGCCACCTAGGTCAGGTCACTGGGTCTCTGCCTTACCCAACACTGCCGGGCATGAGCGGTCCTGCTTCCCTGTCCCTGGCAAGGTCATTTGTCAGTACAGAGGTGGATGGGTCAAGATGCCCTGGCTCCTTCCCACCTGGCTTACCAGGTGAGGGCAGGTCCAGGAACCTGCAGAGCAGGCCTCCCTGATTCTGACAAAGAGGGCCCAAACCCCACGCCACCAAGACAATCTGGGTGGGAGTGAGGACCTGTCTGATGCCCATCCTCCCAGGATTCCCCGACAGAGGCCTCACCACCAGTGTAGTGAAAACTTCCAACCAACAAAAACTTTCCCAGGCAAGGCAAGAGGAGGGAGGGAGGGCTTGCAGCACAAACAGTGGGGAGCCTTCAGGGGCCAGGGAGGGGCAGAGGTGTCGCTGCCACATGGTGAGCATAAGGGAGGTTGGTGCCAGGTGTCTGGGGGGATCGGCAGTCTGGCTGCCATGGGACCCCAGCAGTGGGCAGGGTGAGATGTGGGGTACAAAGGCGGGGCTTGTCATACTTGCAGCCACAGGAGCAGATATAAAGTGCCCCGAGGGCAAAAGGGAGAACCCTACACAGAAGTGACTGGCAGCTGGGGGCAAAAGCACAAGTCTGCTCAGAGACTGAGGGTAGATGAGAGACAGCAGGAGGCATCGTGGCCCCCCAAGAAGCAGGGAGTGCAGGGAGAGGAAAGTGGAATGTGACCCTAAGAAGGAAAGAGCAACAGCACCAGCTGCAGCAGGGAAGGGGCCACCGGGTAACACGGGTCACTGGCGACCTTCCCCAGAGCAGCTCTGAGGGTCAGCGGGAGGGTGAGGGCCTTCCACAGGAGGAGGAGTGTGGGGGACCAACAGGTGAGCCACACCAGGAGCTGGGCCCCACCAGGGACATCCCTACACCCTGAGGTAGAGACACAGCTCAACGGGGTGGCCCCAGGACAGCGCTAAGTGTGAAGCAGCAGTACCGTGCAGTCACCCTGGCTTCTGCTAGGACCCACAGCCCTGGTGCAGCCTGAGGATACAGAGGAGGCCCCCAAGCAGGCCCAGCTGGCCCTCCAGCTCCCTGAACACAGCGACAAGGACATCAAAAGTAAGTCAGCAGGGGTGGAGGGGACTTTAGGACTGGCCCCTCTCAGGGGCCCAAGAGGCTGCAGGCAGGAAGGGGCACCACAGTGAGGGATTAGAAAGCACAGAACCGGGCCGGCCCGGTGGCGCACTGGATAGTGCACCGCTTGGGAAGCGCGGCGGCGCTCCCACCCGAGGGTTCGGATCCCACATACAGACTGGTTCCCGCTCACTGGCTGAGCGAGGCGCGGTAGCAACGCCGAGGGTTGCAATCCCGTTGCCGGGCCCCGGTCTGGTACGGGGGCAACACTGAGGGTTGCGATCCGTTGCCGGACACAGAAAAAGACAAAAAGACAAAAAAAAAAAGAAAGCACAGAACCTACCAAGGGGCAGCTGAGTGCTGAGCACCCTGGCCTGGAAAGGGTTCAGTAAGCCATACTACCCAGGTGCTGGTGCCCCATCCTTGCACAGATGGGGAGCAGGACCCACGCAGTCCAAGCAGGGTCTGTGCTGGAGAGACCGGCCCCACAGCTGCCTCCTGCAAATGGCCTCCCCTACCTCTTCCCCTCCCCATGCAGCAGAGCCCACCTGGGGTCGCCCTCCTGGGCCCCACCATCCCTTGCTTCTCCACAGAGGATGGCGGGAATCAGTGCAGGGAGCAGCCACTGAGCCAGCCCAAGCTTGAGGGATGCCACGCAGGCTCAGCAAGCAGGCCATTTGGGCCCTGCAGACACTCAGATGTCACAGCAGCTAGACTTTCCACTGGTCCGGTGCTCCATCTTATGGAAATCACGGTCAGCATGTCCCTGCAGGTCACGGGGCATCTGCCCAGCCCCTCTAGCAAGAGCACTAGAGGCTCACGCGTTGCCCCTTGGACTGCATCCACAGACGGGCGCCCCTACACAGTCAGTCTCTCCCTCTGCTTTTCTCCCTGTTCCAACCCCTCCAGGGACAGTTCTTCTAGGTCCCAGTGGCTTTTCCTTCTGAGTCACACCACAGACTCACTCAGGTTGGGCTAAGCCATCCCCCTGACTCCAAAGAAGGCCCAGTGCTTACTAAAGGTGTGGGCCCTAAAGGTATTCTCACCTGAAAGGCCCACTCGCAGGTTCCCCAAGGACACCTGTACATATCAAGGGCACCTGCGGCACCAGAGGGTGTGCTTGCCCACAGTGGCTCCACTCACAGTGTGAGGCCTGTACTGGCACTGGGCTTCCGCCAGCACCGAGGGCTACGCGTCAGAGGCAGTCAGCGGAAGACTCCCTTAAATGAGGCACGGCCCACTCAGAATGAAGACACCTCACTGCTGTTCTCGAAGTGGAATAAAACAAACGTCCCGTCAGATGGTTTGCAATGTCAGCCCCTTTAAATATTATACATTCATTTTATAAAACTCAGAAACTACAGGGGCCTGATTTAGCTCTCCGGGGTCCCTTCTGCAGGAGAGATTCAAGGTGGCCCCAGGGCTGGCCCCAAGGTCACTGTGGTTGTGCAATGTGTGCCAAATGAAATGCTCATGCCTTGGCAGGGTGCAAGATGATGTCAAGTGACAGCACACCAGAAGGAATCTTGAATGACCCCCTGGCCCACAAGACTAAACCACCGTCTCTGGTTTTGTGTGCACTCTCTTGCGGGCCCCTTTTATTTGGTTAGTTAGTTAGCCTTTAATAAAATAATGGCCTTTAAACAAACTAGACCCATACCCATGAACTAGAATATGAACAATAACCTGTATCTTGCAATCATTCTCCCTGGTCTTTCCCTATTGGCCATGATTCCGAATCTTGTGTTTATAATGACTTTTCTTTTGGTAAATGGAGAGGAGTGATCGTATCATACTTTCGAGTACGCCTCAACAGTACGTGGGTTTTCTTTGCAAGACAGGCATCTTGCTGTGTGTGATCTTTAGACTTGTGTTCACTGTGCATTAAGTTGCCCGTGCTGTTGGGGGTGGCACAGCTCATGCGGTCACGACTGTGCATGAGTCCACTGGTGAATTCCCTAGTTTCCTTGCCTGCTCTGGCATGAACAGTGCTGCAACAGACGTTCTCACGCAGGCCTCCTGGTGCGTGTGCAAGAACAGAAATGCTAGGTCTTAGGTCGTGTGAGTGCCCAAGTTACAGGAGAATGCTAAGTAGTTTTTTAAGTAGTGGTCTCAGTTTACGCTCCCTCCAGCAGTGATCAAGAGATGCAGTCAATCCACATTCTCTACAGCACTTGGTCTCATCAGGTTTCCAGATCCGGCCAGTGGAATGGGTGTGATGTACACTCACTGGGATTAGGATTTGCATCTCTTCATGGGTATCAGCCAAAGGTATTCGCTCTTCTGTGAAATGCCTGATCATGCCTTATGACTATTTTATTGGGTTATTGGCACTTTTCTTATTCCTTTGTCAAAGTGTTTTTATATGTTTTGATACGGATTCTTTGTGAGCTACATGTTCTGCAAACATCTTCTTTCAGCCTCTGGATTGTCTTTCCCCATTCTTAATGGTACTTTTTAATAGAGAAAAATTCATAATCAAATTCATCAAGCTTTAGTGGTTAGCAATTTGGGGGCCTTCTTAAAAAAAATATCCTTCCCTCCAAGGTAAGAAAGTTAGTCGTCTCTCTTTTTTCTCAAAGATTTAAAGTTTTGCTTTTGACATTCACATCATTAGTGTGTCTTAAGTAGATTTTGTGCAAGTGAGAAATAGGGTTGCAATTTCGTTTTTTATGCAGATGAGTAAATTGGTTTTTTCCATCTCCTTTCATTAAAGAGTCCTTCATTTCCTGTCAATATTGAAATTCCACATCTGAAAGTGGAATTCTGACTTGATACACCTGAACCAATAACACCCTCACTGTAACTTCCCAAGTCCTGGGACTAATAGGGAAAGTTCCTTTTCTTTATTCTTTTATCTTCAGAAGCATCCTGCCATCCTTGCCCTCTATGCTTCCACTACACATCTTAGATAATAACTGAATATGCGCTGAATTCCTAAATCATTTTTGGGAAAACTGACATCTACAGAATATTAAGTCTATCCCTGAATACTGAATCTCTCTCCATGTAGTTAGGACTTGTCTTTTAGTAAAGCTTTATATGCAATACAAGTTTATTCCTAGGTATTTTATAGTTTGATAGTATTGTAAATGGTGTCATTTTAAAATTACATTTCCTAATTATTTATTATTGGAATATATTTATTTATTTGACTTTTGCATATTGACCTTCTATCCAACCACCTTACCAAATTCTCTTATTCTTGTCATAGATTATTTGGGGTTTTCTACATAAATAATCATAACTTTTTAAAGCTTAATTGTTTGCCTTTTTAACTCAGACCTATAACTAACCTGATTTTTGTGTTGTGTAAAGAAGTTAGCTTTTCTTACTTATGGATACTTGTTATACCAGAGTCATTTGCTGACCACCTTCCCAGCAGTTCCGCAGGGCCACGTCTGTTGTCAGTCAAGGGTCCACACATGCATGGGTCCACCTCTGGGCTCACTCCTCTGTTCCACTGTTTTACCTTCTTTGAGCCAGTATCAGCTATTCTAATGATAGTAGCTTTGGTCTGGCTTGCTAGGCATGGGGCCAGTACTCCCATCTTGACCTTCAAGAGAGTCATGACTGTTCTTAGTCCTTTGCACATCTATAAAGTTTAGAATCAGCTTGTCAAGTTTCACAGAGTACTTGTTGGGACTTTACATGGCCAAATTTCTGAGGCACTGTAGGCCTGTAAAAGTTGTTATTAGCCCTCACATTTAAAGGACAGTTTGGCTGGAGGTAAAATTCTAGGTCCAAAGTTCCTTTCTCCTTCAGTTCTTCAAATATTAGTCAGATGTCACCTTGTGTTCAGTACTGCTGTCATGGGTGCCAATCTTGTTCTTGTTTTCTTATAGGGTAAATCTTGCTCTTTCTCTCTAGAAGCTGTTAGACTTTTCCTTCTCAATGGAAGGAGGATTCCCAGGCACCCTGATGCTCCCAATTGGCATTTCCTCACCAAGCAACTATCCAGCCCAGGGCTGTACCTTCAAGCCCGAGGGAGAAACTCATGAACAGGAGGTGGGCTTCCAAGACTGTAACCCATCTTCCTAGGGTTGTGCAGAGGCAGGGGTGAAGGAGTGAATGCTGAGGCTAGTCTAATTATTCCCATTTTTCCTAACTTCTCATCCCATGGGGGCTTTTGGACTATCCTAGTTTTATCCCCCTGGACACCTACGATGATCTGGTGGGCTGCCACCCAGAAGGGCAGGCAGTTGTTATCCCCCAGGTGACAGCAGGCAAGGGCAGAACTTAAACCACTTTGCTCTGTACTGGAGCAGCCCACTGCCCCCACCCCACGGTGCAGCCACATCTCTGTGCCTCACCCATTCAAAACAGCCCTCTCTGTTTTTATTCACTTATGGGAGGTGTGCATCTCTGTGTACAAGTGTGTGACAATAAACAGGATTTAGTGGAGATGGCTCCATAGGACAAGGCTACCACAGGCAGGTCTCTGGCAACCTCCTGCCCTGCAGTTGCATGAACTGCAGGCTTAGGGTCCTCACAGCCCAAGAACAGCACAAGTGCCAGTCCTGGTCTCTGCAGCCACAGCTGCCCCATGTGCAGCAGGCAAGGATTGACAATACAGCCCATGGATTCTAAATACCCATGCACATTGCTGTATTCTGTTGGGTTATTGTAAAATGTCTCTGGACAATTGTATACAGTGTCTAAAATTCATATGGAATTGCAAGGGATTCAGAATAGCAAAAACAAACCTAAAAATAAGAAAAAAGCAGGAGGACTCACACTTCCTGATGTCAAAAATTACTGCAAAGCAATATAATCAAGTCAGTGTGGTACTGGCTTAAGGACAGGCATTTAGATCAATGGGATAGAACTGAGAGTCCAGAAATAAAATCACACATCTATGGTCAACTGATTTTGACAAGGAGGTCAAGACATTCAGTGGGGAAAGAAGTCTTCTCAACAAATGGTGCCAGGACAACTGGACAGCCATGTGTAAAACAATGAAGTTCCACCCCCTACCTCACACCATATGCCTCATACAAAAATTAATACAAATGAATCAAAGGATTAAGTATTAAGAGCTTAAATCAAAACCCTTAGAAGAAAACATATGAGTAAATATTCATGACCTTGGATTTGGCAATGATTTCTTAGATATGACACCAAAAGCATGAGCAACAAAAGAAAAAAAAGATAAACTGGACGTCATCAAAATTTAAAACTTCTGTGCTTCAAAGGATTCCACCAAGGAACTAAAAAAACAACCCACAGAATGGGAGAATATATTTTCAAATCATATATTTATAAGAGATTGTATTTAAAATATATAAAGAACTCTTACAACTGAATAATAAAAAGACAAATAACCCAATTTAAAAAAGGGCAAAGGATCTGCATAAACATTTCTCCAAGGAAGATACATAAATGGCCAATAACCACATGAAAAGATGCTTGACATCATTAGTCATCAGGGAAATGGGAATCATAACCACAATGAGATGCTACTTCACACCCACTAGTATGGCTAGAATGAAAAAGGGAACAATAAACATTGGCAGGGATGCGGAGAAATGGGAGAAATCAGAACCTTCATACACTGCTGGTGTAAAGTGGTGCAGCTGCTTTGAGAAAAAAAACAAAATACAGTCTGGCACTTCCTCAAATGATTAAACCTAGAATTACTCTATGACCAGCAACTCCACCCCAAGGTATATGATCAAGGCAATGAAAACATACAAATAGTCTTCAAACAGTTTATGAAAAAAAAAAAAAATCAGAACAGAGGCCATTCTCCCAAACTCATTCTACAAGGCCAGTATCACCCTGATAGCAAAATCAGGTGAACATACAACAAAAAAAGAAAACTACAGGCCAATATCCTTGACGTATATAGATGCAAAAATTCTCAAAAAAACATGAGCAAACAGAATTCAACAGCACATCAAAAAAATTATACACCATAGTCAAGTGGGACCCATCCCAGGGATGCAAGAACAGTTCAACATATGCAAATAAATAAATGTGATGCATCACATCAACAAAATCAAGTACAAAAACCATATCAACTAAATTTCAATTTTTAAAAAAGTTCATGGAGAGATCTGTATTATCTTTTAAAGGGCTGGCCAATTAGCTCAGTTGCTTTGAGCCTACTGCTGTAACACCAGGGTCAAGGGTTCAGATCCCCATACCAGCCAGTTAAAAATAAATAAATACCAGCCAAAAATAAATAAATAAATAAAATAATGTATTATCTTTTAATTCCATTTTCCATGAACTTTTGGAGTACCCTTGTATTTCCACAGAAGGTCTTCTTGTACATGAATGTTCATAGCAGCACTATTAACAAAAGGTAGAAACCACCAAAATATCCATCAGCTGATGAATGGATAAACAAAATGTGGTCTGTCCATACAATGGAACATTACTGGACCATAAAAAGGAATGAAGTAGCATGAATACATGCTACAACATGGATGAAACTTGAAAACATGCTAAGTAAAAGAAGCCAATCCCAAACAACCATATATAATATGATTCCACTCATATAAAAGTCTAGAATAGGGCAATCTGTAACGACAGAGAGCACATTAGTGGTTGCTTAGAACTGGGAGGTGACAGCTAAGGGTACGAGGTTTCTTTTTGAGGTGAGCAAAATGTTCTAAAATTGACTGTGGTGATGGACGCACGTATGTGTGAATATCACAAAAACCAATGAATTGTACACTTCAAATGTATGAACTTTATGGTATACAGATTATATCTCAATAAAGCTGTTTTTAAAAAGTAATGTACAGAATAGTGTTTTCGGTATATTATCTTTGGTAGGAAAAGGAAATATGTATATATTTTTTCTTATATTTAAAAAGAAATAAAACTAGTAAAAATGGTTGACTACAGTGGGAAGGAAAGAACAGGGCAAAGGGAATGGGAACAGAAGCTAGGCTTCTCTGAAGATACCTTGTTTTACACTTTCAAATCAGAACCACGGAAATGTCTTTAAAAAGAACAAAAAGAAAAGGCAATGCCTAAAAATGGAAAACAAACTGAAATAAAGGAACTTATTCATCGTGTTGGTGGCATAACCACACAGGGGAAGAGTACCGTTTCAAGTGATTTTAAAAACAGCATTATGACTATTCACCCTAGTGGGATGTGGTCTAAGGATAAAAAGCATTGCCAAGAAGCTTTATGCTGTACTCAGCGATCTTAATGATGGTACTATTACTGGTATGGTTTTTTGAAAGTATTATATGTACATTGTAGGATAAAGAAAATAATTATGTTAGTGCCACCAAGATTTTCAGTGTAAAGAAATAAAAGTATAAAATTGAAGTTAAAGCTTTATTTTGTAAAAAATTTAATTCTGTTAATTTGAACTGGAAATACTGGTATAACCTCATAATTTATTTTTATTTTTTAAAGATCTAATTTCCTAGTTCTGTTCACTGATAGGCCTGAAGCACTGACACCCCAGTAATAGCATATGAGCACCCAGACTGTGGTCTCTAGATTCCATTCCCCACTGAAAGAACCAGGGATTTTTGGAGAAATGGCTGATTACAAAACTGAAGCAGAATATGGACAAAAGAAGCCCAAAACATAGTGTGTAAAAAAGCAAGCAAGCTTTCAAGAACAACTGGGACTGTGTCCAAAGGGGAGAGGAGCCAACCTGAAAGGGCTCCCACTGCCCAAAGATGGGATAACTTGAGCATCCAGAAAACTAATGACATTCTACCGGCCAGCCACCATAAAAAAAAAAAAAAAAATTAAGATTTAAAAAAAAGAAAAGAAAATTAATGACAGTAACAGACTGAAACTTATCACATATATAAAAATCTATGAAGAAAAAACAACTTGTTGGTCAACTTCGGGGCTTGCTATGGGACTGCTCCATCTGTAAGCACACTTCCCCATGTGGACCGCACTTCAGGGAGGCCACAGAGTGGATGAGGGAAAGCATGTTCACAGACCACTCTCCAGCTCGTAAAGGTAGAAGCAACAGACAGAGTCAGACACAACCTTAGTGAGATGATGGACCTGGGATCAGGAATCAGCCTGGATCAGGGATCAAGAAGGCTGCTCAGACCACCAACGAGGGCCTTATTCTGGATGGATTAGGCTGCCAACACTTAGCCAGTGATCAGTCCTTGCATCACTCAAGTGGTGACATAACACGTCACTCTGACATGCCACACACCTCTTGGTGTGGCTGAGGTGCGCAAGCCTCCCCCGTGAGGCAGCCCTGAAAAGATCGCTTGGACCTGAGTCCTGTTAAGCCCTGTCTATGAGACAGAGTTTACAGGAAACCCAGGGACAGGAAAAAGTCAACGCCACAGGTCAGCAATGAGTCAAGTCCAGGAGGGGAGCTCCACAGGATAGATGGCCACACTTCTCCTATAAATAGAGATGACTAAAGCGTGTGGATTGAAAGAGACTTGAGATATGTCAGACAAGACAATGAGTACCCCTTACAAACTCTAGTTAGATTACACCAGCTATAAATGGCATTTTTTGGATGATGAGAGAAATCTGAACATGGCCTGGGATTTCTCATGATATTGAGTAACAACTGATAATTTGTAATAATAGCATTTTGATTATGTAAAACACTGTAAAGCCTTTATGTATTAGATACCTGCTGACAACAGGTTTTTTAAAAGCCCATCAGGAAAGACAAAAGTCAAGGAAATTCCCAGAGGACAGGGGAGAAGGGAGAAAAGGTGGGTAGACCCAGTGTGGAAGGAGGCAACCAGCCAGGGAGGGAAACCAAGGGGCTATGGCCAGCGGTGGGGGCAGCAAGGCCTGCCCAGGCCCATCACCCGTGTGGGACTGGCATCCAGGGGGCCCTGCAAAGAGTAAGTTGCAGAGAGGGTGTTGGACAGCGTGGGGTGCTGGATTAAATGATGGAGGAGAGACTGGCCTTTGGAATTTCATGTGGGATTGGCACAATTGCCATGCTTCTGGGTGTTTGTTTTTTAAATTAAAAACCAAAACAACAGGTATCTTGACAAAGCTAAAAAACAATAGGGACAAAAATAAGGACAGAGTGGACTCTAAGTGGAGAAAGACAAGCTGGCTCCTCCCTGAAATACCAACACTGGGGCCACCGTCTCAGCACCCCCAGCAGCATGTGCGATAGGAGGAGAGACAGGCCTGTCACTACAGCCCTCACTGCCCACAGTGCATTGCCACCCTGTCACCCGGGCCTGGTCAAGAAAGACACAGCGTGTCAGTGCTAGCGGGCCTTCCCCTGGGGTCCCAGCAACTGACCTCTCCTGGCCTCTGTTTCCAGACACTCCCGGGAACTGTTCAGAAAACCCCTGTCAGAACGGAGGCACCTGTGTGCCGGGCACTGAGGCCGAGGGCCCACGTTGTGACTGCGGGCCAGGCTTCAAAGGCAGACGCTGTGAGCTCGGTAAGTCGGGGCTGGCCTGTTAACAGCAGCCTGGGACTTGGGCCTGGGACCACTGGGCCACAGGAGGGTATGCCACGGGATCCTCCAAACCATGAAGCACCAGGACAGGGCCTGAGCTTTCTCAGCACCCAGGTAGGGAGGCTGGCGGGTGGGGAGCCTCAGAAATGATCCATGAGCCACTGGGGATGGCACCAAGATGGAAGGTGCTGCATGATAACAGTGTCTGAGAACAGCCACAGCCCAGTGAGGTGTGGCTGCAGGGACTCATCTCTGACTTGGGCCAGAGTAGTGGGGAGAGGGACAGTGGAGTCGGTGAGAGAAGGAATGCAGGCTACTTCAGTGCCAGAGGTAGGCCAACGGAGCTCTGACACCCACTTACAATCCTGAGGCCACCAGTGCCTTAAGGGGAACCAGCCTGCAGGGTGCAAGTACTGCCCATGCAGAGCAGCCTCCATGGTTGCTGAGCACACCAGGGACAGGCCCCTAGCCCAGGAAGCAGCTGGCACAGACCCCCAGGCCCAGACAGGCTGCCAGGGTCTCCCTCGGGCAGGGGTCTCTCATGTTGGAGGCAGGGAGCAAGCCACTTAGCCTTGAGCCTCCTTGTAAGCTGCAGCCCTGCTCCTTTGTGCCTGCAGCCTGTAAAAAGGTGCCCCGCCCCTGCACTCGGCTATTCTCGGAGACAAAGTCCTTTCCAGTCTGGGAGGGAGGCGTCTGTCACCATGTGTAAGTTGGTTTCTATTCCTTGTGCTTTCTCAAAGGCTAGCCCACCTAGCGCTGGGGAGTGATCGTGGTCACAGTCACAGAAGGGATTTGTTCCCTCCATGTGACAAATTAGGAAGCCAAGGCAGAAAGACTACATCGTTTGCCAAAGTCCATGCAGCTCAGGAGCATGGCTGAGAAGAAGCCAGGTCTCCAGGCCCTGTGTTGCCGGAAAACACTGGACGGACTGTACCTAGGTCCGTGTGTGTGTGTTGGGTGCAGGGGGGCTTTACCTACCTTCCTGCCGACCTTGTCAGTAGTCATCAAATGCACACTAAAGGGGGTATATTTTATGTAATTATACCTCAGTAAAGTTAACTTTTTTAGAAAAATCACAACTTTTATGCTGGACATTTTAATACATCCCTAGGAGGTAACGTTTTGTTAAGAAAATAATGGCCTTTCCCTCAAACACCTTCACCTGTGGGCTCCCTTAGCTGAGGTTCAGCACTGGGCAAGGTCTGCTTCAGTGTCTGGTTTTACGGAGCTTTCTTGTGACAACAGGTACAAAAGAGTCTACAAAGTTCAGCAAGACATCTGCTTTAAAGAGAGCTGCGAGAGCACAAGCCTCAAGAAAACCCCACACAGGTGCCACCTTGGGGAGGAGGCCCACGCTGTGGCCTGTGTGTAGATCACAGGGTAATGGGGCAAGGGTGGCGCTGGGGACTGAATGCGGTGGGGTGCCACGGCATGCGGGCTGAGCCAGGCTGTTCGTTTGCCCAGACACACAGTCTCTGTCCAGCCGTGTTCTGCTAAAAGCCTGGGTCCCCAGATGAGCACATGAGCACACACAGATGGGCAGAGCTGGTCATGGTGGGTGTCAGGTGGTCACTCCGGTCATGCCTGTTGGCACGGAATGTGGGACTACAACTGGAAAGCACAAAGTGTCATTGATAGGCCCACATATACAACTGCAAACGTAGTAAATCTGTTTACATTTTCTTCACTCACACCCAGATTCTTTCCCCAAAGGATTCAAGGTAGTCACAAGAATTATGACTGGGGTTTTGCTGAAAGAAGTGCCTGAGAACCTCATATGCTTTCAAAATAAGAGAGTCCAATCCTCAGTCACACTCTTCAGAGACCCACGTACAGCCACACCCACTTGTTCTGTGTTACTGAGCACCAAGAAGGGGCCGTGGCCAGCACCTTGCCCACAGGGCTGCGTGGCCTGAGCAACAGTGTCACCAGCCTCTGCCTATGGTGGCTCCTGCTTCTCTCTTCTGCACCCTTCTTTCACCCTCCATAACTCACGTCTAGCAGCCAGGCTGCTACCCTCATCATTTCACGGCTACTGCCTCAAGCCAGGCAGGCGCACACAAACTAAATTGCTAACATCTCATCGGTGTCTGTGCTAATGGTGTTTCCCACACAGAAATACACATGAACCAGACAGGATTTCAGCAGGCATCTGGACTGAGGTAGCTGCAGGACTGCAAGTACACAGGTCTCTTTTTCATTAAGCCACTTTTCTCTAATTATTTCAGGAAACAAAGTAACAGTCAGACACTGAAGAAACCTTAAGGTACGTCCCTACCGCGCCCCACAGAGCTGCTGGAAAGTGGGGAGGCGGCCCACCCAGCCTGCCTCTCAGCCTTGCTGTCTCCTAAATGGTCCTGCCAGAGACAGCTGCGTGTGCTGTACTACCGACCCCAGGAACAGGAAGGTTTCAGAATTCCCTGAGGGGGTTGAAATGGGTGAGAAAAAAGTGATACCTACAGCTATACCTCTTGGGAGACACAAACCTGGCCTAGCCATGGACACAAATGCACCTTTAGGTGGTAGTGAGGCTCGGGGGTGAAGGCAAACCCCATGCTCTCTCAAGGGAAATTTAGCGAAGAGACCTCCAGATCAGCTGCATTGGGGGCAGGTAGGCACTTAGCCTGGAAGACCACGTGGCATCTGGAGGGAGTTGGGACCAGGGGGTGGCAGGAGGGCCGAGGATTCCCATGCTCTCTCAAGGGAAATTTAGCGAAGAGACCTCCAGATCAGCTGCATTGGGGGCAGGTAGGCACTTAGGCTGGAAGACCACGTGGCATCTGGAGGGAGTTGGGACCAGGGGGTGGCAGGAGGGCCGAGGATGCCAAGGATTCTGGGAGTGCCAGGAGGGGTCTAAGGGGAGGCCTCCCAGAGCCTGTGGATGGCACTCTACTGGAAGAAAAATGGGGCGGGGGCCTCGGTCACTTAACATGTGGGGAATCGAAGATGCTGTCTCTGACTAGGAGATTCACAGCACAGTGGAATCCTAAGCATTCGGAAATCCTGAAATTTGTTTAACCCAGCATTTCCCAAACTCTTTTGGCAACCCCCATCCCACTCCACCTTCCCATATGCAAATTCTGTTAAATCTTAAAGAACACTGGGATTCTTCACGATAGTTTGTAAAGACCTGGGTTTATACTACAGAAACCCATCTACAGCTTGTAATCAGTTTCACACTGACTGAAATCTCTTATCAACATGTCACTGATAATGAAAGATGAGCTTCTGGCGGGCCCAGGACAGTTTAGCACTCCCGCTCCTAGATGAGCCTAAACAGCCTGTCTTCCAGTGTTACAGGAGAGAATGAGGCAACCTCGGGTAACAAGCCACTTCAAAACAGGTCTACATTTTCCACATGGCTAAGGAAATGAGGGAGAAACGTCATTCAGAGATCTTCAAAACAACAGAAGCAGAGGAGCCAGCCCTCTGAAGGAAGACCACCCATACCACCAGGGCAAGGCCCAGGCTGAGCTCCTTGGGCACCGGAAAGCGAGCTCTCAGAGCTGGCATATACAAGAGAGCCCATGCATCCATCCCATTTCAGATGAGAAATCCCCCCATGAAGGAGGGCAGCTGACAGCATTCAGTCCCTTTCTGCTTCCCCCTCCCACCTCACCCTCAAGGACACACTCCAAGGCTTGCAAGCAATTTACTACTAGGATTAAGAACCCACAAACATAATTTGGGTTTGAAATATTTATAAGGCAGTAAGTCATCTGAAATATTAATATATATTTTAAAAACTCACTCAGCAAATCCATTTCTATAAAAACGAATCAGAAACCCCCAACTGATGATCAAATACTGGCTTACAGAACATCTCTTCTTGAAACAATGGAGAAAAGGCAAATAAGCAGGAAGCAGAAACACACCCGCCCAAGAACAACTGAAGACTTCATTTCAGTCCAGACCAGCTGGGCACAGCACGTGCCTGGAGAAAAGAGCCAGGGTCATCACCAATGGAGGAGGGCAGGGAAGAAGAGCAGTCCATCGGCTTCCAATCTAGAAGGTGCAGTGCTCAGCCCCGGTGCTCCTGGAGATGGGGATGGAGTCAGTCTTCCCCAACGGGCCCGCCCTCGGCGCCCCCAGCGCCCTGTAAGAATTCTGGTGCTGGAAGAACACTGGGGCCTCGGGACAGCGGCCAGGCCTGCGAGGAGAGACCGGGAGCAGCTGCTCTCAGGAAGAGCAGTGAGGCCCATCCCCCTCGTGCCTCGCCTTGTTTTTTCTTCAAAGGACTTAGGACGCTTTGGTTACATTCCACCAGCCTCAAGAGTGTCTAAACCTTGTAAGTGAGGTCTACAAACTGGATTGAAAAGACACCCTGAGAGACAAAGTCCTGGCTGGAGTCAGTCCCTTCTGTGACCTCTCTCCTCGGGCCTCTTGAAAACAAACAGCCAAGCCTACGCATGCACCAGCCCACCCTGGGAGGTTCCACCAAGACCCCTCACCCACGAGGCCTGCGATACAGTCAAGCAGCCTGATACCATATAGGGTGCCATTTTCCAAAGGTGTCATCTATACCTCTATGGATGTGATGACTGTGTGCCATTAGCCCAGGGTCAACAGGCTGTCAGTAATGCTTCTGCAGCATTCAGAAACCCACTCTCAGAGTCCAATGTGAAAGAAAGAATTCTCCCTTTGAGACCTAACAAACTGAGGAACTGCTACGGACGGTTTCCAAAACCGGAGGGGGGAGGGGTGCAGGGCCATAAGGGGCAGAGACAAGGGGAAGCTGAAAGGAAAGCCAAGTTCTAGGCACGGCCTCGCCCTGTTCTGTTGCATGTTATTTATGCTGGTCGTTTGGCAGTTTCACGATCCATCATAAGGACTAGTACATTTTTGAAAAAGGAAATGTCAATTAATACTGAGATGGAGTTTAGACACTCTTAGTTTACAGCGGGGATTGGCAGACTTCTATAAAGGGTCAGAGAGTAAAGTATTTGCTTTCAGAGCAAATGGTTTCGGTGGCAGCTACTCAGCTCTGCCATTGCAGTGCCCCCATAGCCACAGACGTGCGACTGGATAGCTGTGCCTGGGTTCCAATAAAACTTTATTTACCAAAACACATAGTGGCCAGATTGCCCCATGGGCCACAGTTGGCAAACCCCTAGTCTAGGAGTCACTTAGGCTTCGCCTCATGCAGAGCAAGCCATCCCCTGGATGATAAGGCTCTACCAATGCACCGAAGACCCCTGGATTTTCATGGAAAAAAGCTATCCAGCCCCCTGCTTGGCAAGTCAAGGCACACTCCTGTAAAGCAGCAAGGACTCCTCTTCACAAGTCTAAACATAAAAGATGGACACGCGGGGCAGGCTAGACTAAACCATGTTCAGGCATATGTCTTAGGCTACCGGGTGGTAAACAGCCTTAGACAGTCCCATCTTCACAAGCAGGGCACTGCACGTTCTCACCACATCACTTCCCAGCACACCCCTAAGCAGCTGTCTTCTCCCCGCAAACGAGGTGAAAACTAACAAAGCCAACCCCAACCTTCCTCGTATGGACTGTTAGGACAGCTGGCCCAGCTGGAGATCTAGCGCCCCACTACATCTTCCTCTGATTCTGCCCACAGTCAGCACTGCAGCCGAAGAGAGCCTTATTCATCTTTTATAAAAACAGCCTCTGAAGTTACAGTACTTTTTAGGCTTTTTACTTAAGACTTTGTGTGCATATGTCTGTGTATTATGTAATTTGTCACTTTCAGAAAGGAGGAACAGTCATTTCAAGAAGTCTCTACTGTAGTCCAGAACCATTTCCCAGTCTCTAAAGTCCCACTTGAGAACACAAGGCAGAGCTCAGTGAAGGATCTCGAACACTGGGTGAACAGAGAAAGCAACGTACACAAACACGGGCTGCTGACTCCGCTGCAGCACTGTGACCTGTCACTGTTTGTCCACATAAGCTACAGCATTGCTAGCAAATGGTAAGATCAAGTGATATCACTGGAGCAGCAGATGAAACCTTCTACTACCATGGTCATGACCTCAAGCACCTCAGCCATGAAGCAAATGCTAGCATGTTCCAGATTTTAGCTTATAAGGCTTTGTTTCAACAAGAAATGGTCTACTGAATCCTGAGCTTGGTGCTGTGTTGTCATGATTAACCCATTTTGATGTTTTACAAATTAAATATCTAGTAAAAAGACTTCCTGATGCTAAAGGAATCACAATTCATTCTTGAAACATTCCCAATGAGCCATCATAATGTCTTCCTTGAAAATACTCAGAGTCTACCAAGGATACTAGTAATAATGGAATCAGAAAATTGTCAGGGACATAAAGACTTCTTTGTCACAATGACAGAGGCAATCCATCATGCGCCACTGGTAACCATTTGCTAATCAAAACTTGGGATAAGAGGGAGGTGGGAGGGAGGTTTTGGTAAGGGGCTACAATAATCAACCACAATGTATATCGACAAAATAAAATTAAAAAAAAAAACTTGGGATGAACCAACCATCTAATCAAGCATAGGTTTAGGATTCTGCTTAGTCCTTTGCCTGGGCACAAGAACATCCCAGGTTCCAGGGAAAGTGGCAGTCACCTGGAGGCCACAAAATGGAAGAGTAAATGAAAACACTGGCACAGAGTGCAGTGTCTTCATTTTCAAAGTTTTGCCCATGGCCAAGAAAGAAAGGCAAACCCTCCCTTCCCCACCGCACATGGACAGCCCAGTGCAGATGAGGAAGCCTCTGCTGTGCCCGCTGCTCTCCTGCAGAGAATCCAGCAGGCAGGCCCCACCCAGGTGTCAGCTCACCTCCTGCGCACTCCCTTAACAGGCAGACCACTGCCGCTGATGTCTGACTCTGCTATGGCCAGAGTCACTGAGCTACTGCTTTCCTTTTGCAAAAAAAGCCCCTTTTTCTTTGCGGTCTCAATGCTCCAAGTGAGCCTGCTAAGAAAGCAAAAGCATCTACACCTCAGTGCTGAATCATCACATGAAATACAGCTCAGATCTACCAAAAGTATTGCAAATGCACAGGGGAAAGGAACCCTATCGAAAAATCACCTATTTATTTTTCTTTAAATAAAATTAATACAATTATTTTAAGTCCATTCACAATCCGAAGATGTCATGAATAAATGCAGTCACACTGTTTTACTGGACCAGGCCTTAGAGCAGTTTCTCAGCCTCGGCACTGACATTTTGGCCTGAATCAGTCTCTGTAGTGGAGCCATCCTGTTCACTGCACAATGCTGTACAGCATCCCTGGCCTCTACCCACTAGATCCTAGTAGCACCGCTCCCTGCGATGATGACAACCAAACATGTCTCCAGGGAATGCCAGATGTCCCAAGGGTCCAGACTGCCCCCAGGTGAGAACCACAGCCTTACTGGAGTTTCACATGGTCCGTGCGGGAAAAACAAGGCCAAGCATCAGACCGGCCTGACCAGAACAACACAGTTGTTAAAATGCCGCTAAGGAGACCTGAATTTTGGTCCCATCACAAAAGCTTTCTGCAGCATCAATCCTGTGCCAGTTCCCCAAGGAAGGGCCACCTAGAACGTTCTAAGAGGCCCCAATCCTCCTGTGAGAGCTCAGGCCATCAGAGCCAGACCTCTACCTCAGAGATCACCCCTGGCTTATGTCAAATTCCTATTCCCCATTCCCAACAGTTCAAATCACTCCTCATACCCCTGGGTTCTCTAGGGTGATGCGAACACCTTGGGTGTTGTGAGAGCTCCCTGGAATGAAACCAAGACCAACCTGTGGCCCTGGCTCCAAGCCCAGCCTGCTCTTATCCTCTGGTTCAGAAGCCCATCTGTAACATGGGCGGGAGAGACAATCATATAGGACCGCTTCCTAGCCTCTCTCCTGCTCAGGCAAACTCCAGGCCACCACACTCTGTCTGCCCAAGTCTTCAGGGCCAGAAACATCAGGCCTGGAAGTGACCACTGCCCAGGAGCTGGCATGGCATGAAAGCCAACTTCCCCAAACAGGAAAGGTCTGTTCTTCACAAAGAGAGAGAAAAGTGCCCCAGTGCTTTGCTGGCCTTAAGAAGCTTTGCACAATTAAACCATACATCACTAATCAACTTCTTTTTATTCTGCTGTACACTAAATGCAATTAGGAAACAATATTTTTGGATTTAAAAAACTAGTATTTTTGTGGAAAACCTGCTACTTGTTTTCATAAAATAAAATGCTATGATGTACTGAAACCTCACACTGCCTTCTGATAATTTTATCTTTATCACTAGAAGGAAATATAAAGTGATTCTTGAGCCAGAAGAAAACCCATCCTCCACAATGTCATGGAATTCTCACCAATATATTTCAACAAAGAAAAAAATAAAACCAAATTTTGCTGTACTAAGTTTCCTTGATTTTAGCCGCTCAAAGTCTTTTATTTAGGATGGAACAGGACCCTCCCCACAGGCACTCGACAACAGATCACATGAATGTGTCTCCTATTTGGTTTGACCTGTTTGCTTCTCAGGAACTTTGTAATAATTTTTTCATCAAAAGGTTAGTTTTAGAATGAAAAATAACTTGAAAAGATTCAAGTGAAGCTCCCAAAAGCTTTGAGAAATTGAAAATGTTCTTGGGTGTCTCCAGGCCCTGTTCATTCCAGTGCTCCCGTCACGGCTGCTCCTCCTCTTCCTCCTCCTCCTCCAGGCTTGCCCTTTCGTCATCAGATGTGCCGCTCTCAGTATCCTCTTCCTCCTCCCGAGCCAAGAGCTTCTTAAAAACCTCAAACTCCTCCGCAGAAGAACAGGCTGTCCTGGCCAAAAACTCAGCTTCTGAAACTCTGAGAATGTCCTTGATTAAAGGGTTAGGGATCTGCGTCTGCCCCTTCTTATCAGGGGTTTGGTACCGTCCTAGGCGCTCCAGGTAAATGTGTCTCTGCTTAATCTTGGTTACTGAGTACTGCAAGAACTCAGTCCTTACCATGTCCAGATGCTTAATTCCCATCCTAAAATATGCATACTGGAAGACACAAATATGTTTAGGAAACCAAGGTACAGAATCTTAAAACCTATCGTTATACAACCCATAAAAACTTGTTATCCAAAAGCATTCAAAAAAGAATTGCCTAATTAACACAGAATACTTGCTCTATGACACCGACATCTGTATGTCGGCTGACAGTTTTCAAAGCATTTTCAAATTTACATTGAGAAAAATGCAGCAGAAAATAAAAGGGCAGGAGGAAGAAGTTATTATTTTTCTTCCTACAGGGGAAGGTAAATTATGAGTATCAAACAAATAGACAAAGAATTCAGAAACAGGTAGGAATTTGACCTAAGTTGTCATGTTACTAAAAAATTAGGGCAACTGTCACAATTACATTTTCAAAATCAACATGAAAGATAGGAAAGTTTTAGCTATTTTTATTTTAGCTATTTCAAACAGAGCCCCCACTTGGACTCTAGGAATGTGAGTGGGTCATTCATTATTAAAGGCATAAGACTTACAGAATAGGTTTGATCTGTAGTGAAGAAGTGAAAGAACCAGAACCAGAATCCCTTTGGCAGGTATGTGCAATGAGAATCTAAGCCTTTCACCTCATCCATTCAAATGTGAGGTGTCCAAGGCTTCTTGTCCATATAGTTGACCCCGCCCACATCTGAAAACCTGAAAAACGTGCCATTTCTACCCTAATCACTCTATCAGTCATTCTCACCTGAAATTTGTATTCCAATTCATCAGGGTCCTCCAGAAGAACATAGGGGCACCTGTGCAAAATCTCCGTTACTTGCTGTACCGTGAAAAGGCATTTCTCCTTGAGGATCCCAACAATGTCATCAATGTCCCGCTGACGCATGGTGAAAATTTCAGGGCAACAGTGAAGCACCCTCTTTAGTTTCCCTGTAGAACATTCAAAAAAGGCAGGCACACTTCAGAATACTCCAGAAACCCAAGAGGCTAGCTGCACCTCATTTAAGCCACCATTTAAAAAACAAACAAGGATCCTCTCCTACAGAACGAGTGCCAATTTCAGATGTGTCTTCCCAGAAGCACACATCCCCCACTGACTTCCTGACACTTCTCAGACTCACCAGCCCTTCCTCCCTATACGCTGCCTTTTTCTGGTCTCCCATCTGAAAGGTGCCAACTTTGTATTCTATGTCTCCTCTGCCCTCTTCACCTAGAAAATAATTTCACAGGGATCTGGAAAGATCAGACAGTGAGACGGGAGAGTAGCTGCCCCCATGTTGGGGCTCTGGGTTGATGTTTCCCTCTATAATAAAATAGTCATTTTTAAATGTAAAAAGCATTCACAACCAACACTCTCAAGACCTGGGAGCCTGAACTCACTAAAAAGGAGTTCCATAATAATAATAATAATAATAACAACAACACAGTAACAAGAATAATCATAAGGCAGAACTACAAATAGTGAAGTACTGGTTATTAAGAAGACCATGTGTCTTATCCAAACCAGGGCACTTCTGAATGAAAGAGGAATTAAGATAGTTGGTGTAAACTGGGACTCTCCCTGGCAGAGTGGGGTATATGGTCTTTCTATGGATAGTTGAGCAAAATTTAGTAACTGGAAACTTAAAATCATTTATTTAAACTGTTAATTAAAATTTTCCTAACATATGAGTTAGTCATGGTCTTACTAAAAAGTGTAAGGAAGAATTTCAGGGGTTTAGGCTCTACCTTCACCTCCTAAGGCTGTGCTGAGTTTGCTAATTAATAACCACAGCACATAACGTATTAAATTTAGCCTTTTAGATCACATTGTGAGAAGTAATCTGTCAAGAAAAATATACGAGGCTATCTTTTTGCTCATCTTCTAGAGAAGGAGGCCTGCAGAGATCCTTTGAAATAGTGGGTCCCAAAGGTTTTTTTTCCTACAAAAAAATATCTTACCAGGAAAAATCAATAATGAAAAGAAATAACAGCAGAACTCCTCTGATCAAAGTGGATAGGAGTCCTTGGAGACCCTCATAAACCCCCAATTCTGTTCTCCAGAAGGCCTCAAAAGAGATCCAAAGAACTTTGAGCATCCTTGAGATGTGAACAATGTTGGCGGGAAAGAGGAGATAGCTGGAGCGGAAAGCCACTCCACCAGTTTGCCAGGAACCTGGCAAGATGTCTGTTGTTCCATAGTAATTCAAAACATTTGGCTGGAATCTAAGTCTTTACAAGGGATGGTGTTGCTGGCTTTACATCATACAAAGCAATAAGACTACTTCAAGTTGATTT